AAAACTAACTGCTAAATTCCAATCAAATGTATTTACGATTTCCATATTTTCATAATAGCAAAACGTGAGACGTATTTTGGACTAAAAATCCATACAAAATACAGCAAAATCATAAGAGTAAACAGGTCTGCTTTTTGTTATACTTATACATGTATTGTTTTTGGTAGTTAATGCCTGTTATTGGGTTAGTGACTGGCAACCTCTGGCTAGTAACTTCACTGCCCCTAGCCTGACAGGCTAGTAACTAATTTTTGTAATTGCACACCCCTGTTTATAAAGCAAAGTAATTTTTAATCTGTGCACTTTTAAGACTTTTTTACTATTAAAAATTCTGTTTTAAATGAATCCAAATTGTGCATCCTCAGCACTTTGCTATAGCTATGTTTAACTAAATGCAGTTAAAATAAGTAAATACTAAATTTTCAACAGTTAAAGAGCAGAAACAGAGTTGAGGCAGAGAGCAAAGATTGTGCTAATTTAAGAATGATCTCCCATACTGACATAGTCATATAGTTCCCTGCAGTAAGCTTATTTCTAAAGAACTTTATTCGGTAATAACCAATATTTGCCCCCCAAATCAAACATTAAGTTCTTAAACAGGGGAGTATATGCTTACTTCAAAGCACTGAATATTTTCATAAGTAATGCCATATGTACGTAATGACGTCACAAACATGACGTAAATTTCAGTTTTTTATGAATTTTACAGAAAAATGTACATATTTCGTCGATATTTTGAGTAAAAGACAGCGCATGTGTGTTAGGATCAATATTTTGATATAATGTGTAGAATGATAATATCAATGAAATATGTCAATATTGTTCCTAAACAAACTTGCGCTCTATAAATTTTAACACTAAAATTGTTGAAATTTTGTCCATTTTGTCCTCTTTCTGAAAAAGGATATTAAATCGGACTAGTTTGTGACGTCTTAAAAACAAAAATTGTGAAAACACTGCTTTGACACTATAATATTTTCTGTTAATTTATATTTCTCATACAATTTATTGAATTCAGCACATTTCAGGAAGTTTTCAAAATTTGACTTTTGTGGGGGCAAATATATGCAATATACCGCATATAGTTCTTTGCATTAAGTGTCCTTTAAATCTATATGCTATCGTGGTCTTTCATCTGACAATTGTGTAGTATATAAAAAGTCAGTGTTGAAATATATTCAAATTTTGAGGTATGTCCAGTGCACCATGTTTTTCCCTGATAAAAATGTGATCATTCTGGCAACAGGTTCCTCTAACTATTATTGCCCTCCGGTGAGGGTAATAAGAATTGGTTTATAATTAATACAGAGTCATATAGTGAATGCACGACTTAGACTGTAATCAGATTTAATTGCAATTAAACCCTGAAATGGGGTTAGTTGTTTTAACCCCTCTGAGGATTAAGACTTCTGTAAAACAATGAGCATATTAGAATTACACGTTTCCTATGTCAGAGCAGGAACAGGAGGTCCCATGGGCCACAAAGCTCACCTGAGTAACTTTAGCCCTGCTATTCTAATGTTCTTCACCACATATTCTCCTTGTAATACTTATTGTAGCCCCATCCTACTCCCGGGGGGCCATGGTTTGAACAATTTAAAACCTAGGCAACTTTAGGAAGCTTCCACTTAATTTTCAGCTTTTCTGACACAGCGGTTCCTGAGGCGAAGACCTTTTAAGATTTTTCCATTTATAATTCAATGTAAAACTTATTGTGGCCCCATCCTTCCCTCAGGGGTCATGATTTAAATAATTAAGAATCTAAACTACATAAGGATGTTTCCACTTCAGTTTCAGTTTTTCTGGTTCAGTGGTTCTTGGCTTAGTGGTTATTGAGAAGTTGTGAAAATATGAAAAGTTTATAGACAGACATACAGACAAGACACAGGGGTGTGCAATTACCATCGCCCGACGCCCGGGGCTACCAATTTTAGAGGTCGGGCTATCTTAAATCTATACTGCGTTAGCCCGTTGGGCTAGTAAATCTAAAACGAAAGTAAACATATATTTACCTCGACTGAATTGAGGTACGAATTAACTTTTCTGTAAAATCTTAATTTTTAATTCGTTTTAATCTATATGCATTGTGTGTTCCTATCCCCAGTCGTCTCAGTGACAATTATAGTCGATATAAATGGGGGGAGTACCTGACAATTACAAAGCCCAAACCATTATCTGTTTTATTTATTTCAACTTAAATGTTTTTTTAACCTTTATGTAATACTTATACATGTATTGTTTTTGGTAGTTAATGGGCTAGTGACTGGCAACCTCGGGCTAGTAACTTTGTTACCGCCATTGCCCGACGGGCTAGTAATTTATTTTTGTAATTGCACACCCCTGAGACAGATGTAGCAGGGTTCGAAATTAGCGAGAAATACTCGCAAAATGCGAGTTGATTTTTAAAACAGCGAGTAAAAATAGAAGACACTCGAAATTTTTAGCGAGTGGTGATTTTTGAATCTTGTATCCATATTTTTCTGTTAATTCGTCTTGCTTTTTTGAAATTTGAAGAGTCACAATGCATTCGGTAAACCTCGGTTGATTCTGTCACCATTTCCCAAGCAGCTGATGCAATTTATACAAAAATGTTTCATTGTAGTTTTACTTGACATATAAAATGTGTTAACCTTGTCAAAATTTACCATAGATAAAAAGAGTAATCATTAGTTTTACACCAAAATAATTTCTCCCATAACTTTTTGAAGATCGTTTTCTGCAGCTAGCAGCCATGTTAGGTGCCCGCTGTAAATATCACACCTGGTTAATTATGTCCGGGATGTTTGACCCCATTATTCAGTAGCAAAAAATCCCAACCTACCAACCCTTGATCATATTGATTTTCTTTTTTGGAATGTTACAGGAATTACAGGAAATAAATATATTTTAATGTTGTTTTTTTTTAGTTTTTTTTTATGCCAGATTACTTTTTTTTAATGTAAAAACATTGATGTTCTTAATTCTGTACTGACCTACTATAGAAGGACCTGTATTATTATTGATTTAAATGAGCATGAAAAAGACATTTAATCCTTCTTTTAATTTTAGCTTGTTTATCTTCATTTTAGCCTGTAGATTTTATATGTACAGGCTAAAATTAGCCTGTGGTTAAAAAAGTTAATTTCGATCCCTGATGTAAAGACTTGGCGGACAATGGTTGATCAGAAAATCTCACTTGAGTTTTCAGCTCAGGTGAGCTAAAAATTGAAAATGAATTGATCTAAATAGTATTTAAGAAGATGTAATTAGTTTTTGACCTCAACGATTAACCTACATGCAGTGCTCGAGCTGTGATTTGTCCCCAATTACGAATTTTTTTCAAAAGTGGCAAAAAGAAATTCATAAGTGTCGAAAATGAATTTTTTAGATGTACCATGTACAAAATTTGTGTAGTCCTGGTTAGCTCCTTTGTTTATTCAATGTATACAGATAAGTCCCTTTGTTTATTTAATGCAGCAGAGGTGTGAAAACTGAAACCTACATGTAGGAAATCATGTCTCGCTTGAACGAACACAGCTGACTAGGTAACTAGCCTGGAGCAATAAAGGCTTACAAAATTGCTTGAATATAATTTGGATTAAACAAGGGGGATAAAGTGTTTTTAGGAGATGAAGTTAGTAAATAAAAGATTTTTATCAACAAAATCTGGATCTATGTAGATCGTTTTTTTTTTTTACTGAAAATAGGGAAACATGACTAAAAATTGTAAAGAATAACTTCAAATTTTACCTAATAAAAATTGAAATTGTGTACATTATACCATAAACTGACAAAGAGTGAAAAAGAAATTGGTTTGGAAACAGAATTATCTTAGTAAATTACACTCAATTATTTACAATTACATGAGCTTGCATATAATTAAACACTGGGGCCCGTTTTACAAAAGGACTTACGACTTAAGACCAAAGTTAATTCTTCTTATAACTTTTTAATTAACATTATACAGAAAATTATTTTAAACCTTTTAAAAGGAATGTGGTAAGATATTTTTACACAAACAGTTTCTCAGAGAATTATTAATTTTAAAAAGATTTTACAATCATTTTAAGTTTTTGGTCTTAGTCGTAAGTTCTTTTGTAAAACTAGCCCCTGGAGTCTCCAATTTGTTGAAATAAAGTCAAGTTTTAAACCTAATTTTCATTACTTTGTAATTATACTTCTTTTCTCATTTTTCTTAATTAATGAAATGATTAAAAATTCCATTTTTAAAAAATGTCATATATATTTACTAGATCTGTAGCCGCCCCCCCCTCCCTTCCCAGGCAAAAAAAAAATATATATATATACATAAACAAGAGGACATTTTCTGTCAAGAGTTGGCTATATCAATTCAATATCAAATTAATTGTATAATTCCAATATTAGTCTTTTTTTAAATGGATACTACCATAAGCTTTAAACATTACAGTTTTAAATCAATGTCTGTGATAAAGATAATAAAAAAAATTTAATAACATAAAGTGCATTGCATTGTCGAGAAATCAGATGTAAGTATGCCTTAAATTTCCTTTTGTCGCGAAAAGTGGCGAAAAATATTTTCAGTCCAGTGGGACCCCTGCCTACATGTATTAGAATTGCATGTTTCCAGTGTCAGTGCAACAAAATGAAGAATCAAATTGCTCTGACAAAATTTTTTTTACTTGAATTGCCTTGAACAATAGTATTTAATAAAATGTGATGAATACAGAATACATTTTTTTTACCTCCATGATTATCCTATTAGAACTGCACGAGTCTAGTGTAAGTGCAGGAGAACTAATAAACGTGATGAATACGACATATGACCGCCTGAAACGTGTCCCAGATTATCCCAGGATTGAGGCACCTTCGCAAACTGGTGCCACAACCTTGCCCCCAATGTAATTAATCCAAACTATTTTACGTTACATAATAAATTCTTTTTTTATACTTTTACAAGTGTATGTACTTAGAGACTTAAAGGGTCAGACACTTGACTACAATGTTAAAAACTAAAACCAGAAAGAAAGACAAAAACTTACCCACTTAGTTGGGGTTCGTTTTCATTCAAGTTTAGGATGATCTGTCTCTCTTTCTTTATTGTATCACCCAGCTGTTTTAGCTCTGAGAGCTGTTTTTCCAGAGTTTCTTTCAACTGCAATGATGATTTTTATTTACTTTTTTGCTTTAAGAGTGCTATTCAACCCCCTGTGCAACACAATGCCACAAAATCTTAAGCAACAGTTTTAATCTAATTGTTCATTTCATTACAAATACATGTATATATACATTACAATTTTTACAACGAGATATAAAGAAAAATCTTTTTTTTTTAATTATTTGCATTTTCTGTGTAATCTGACCTTTTGACCTTCCTCTATTGACACATTCTCTGCCTTTCCTGGACTGGTGCCTGAGTGATGTTCACAGACGTTACGTACTTCTATCTCCACTTTGTGATTCTCTCCCCCTCTGACTTGGGCTGGACCTTCCTTCTGTTTGAGATCATTCTATGTAAACAAAAGATATCTAAAATTACAATGCTTTTTATGGTAAAAGTCATTTGTAAGTGAAAGTCTCCAATCAACTGAATTTTCAACAAGATACATGTATATAAATTACACTCATCATTACATAGTCTCACTGTAAAATTAGCAAAATACAGTTGCTAGTTAAAGTTGTCAGCCCTTCCATGCAAATTTGATCCAGATAAAATATTATATTGTAATATAAGTTGGTTTAAGCTAAAACTTTATTATGGCAATTCAATCATGTCCAGACATTTACAGGATATTTGCAATGACCAGTAGAATAAGACCAACGTTTGCTTGTTACACTTTGCAACCAGTAATGTTAGTTGACTTGAGAGAGTTTTATCAAATATCTGAATTTTAATTTATGGAAAAATTTTGCAAGTCCAGCTGGGCATCAATATATGCAAAGCTGTTCTTCCATGACAAAATTTGTGCATCTGTGTCATTTAGACAATATAAAGTGATAGATTTATATGCAGACTGTATTCATTTTTGCTAGTCTTGCTGCTGATAATAAATGAGTGTCTTGGTATTTGCATGAAATGTTTTCAAGTGATCCTTCTCAATACAGATGATAAGATTAAAAGATTTTTATAAATCACATTAAAAATCAGATCAATTCAAAGGCTCTAACATATCTGAACATGAAAAAAAAATCTACTCTCATACTACTTATCCCTGTAATTCCTTGATCTCAAGAACATTTCAGTGAAACAGAAATTCCTATTTAAAGAAATTCATGTACATTGTAGAACAATACTTTGTACTTTTTTGCACCTAAAAATAAACCAAGCTTAAATAAGGAAGGTCAATCTGCCCAAATTAAAGACACTGGAGTCATACTGACATATCTACCCGGAATAGTTGTACTTTACCTCCCTGGCCCACATAATAAACTTATTCCTTGATCCTTACAAATAATCTTCCTTAATATCTTATATAACTAAAATGTACTTTTAGAAGAGACGGCGATTAGGAAATAATTTTTTTGTTGTGGTTTGAATTTGACAACGTACCAACTCCTTTCTTAAGATTTCTTCTCTCTTCAGAGCCTGTTGAAGATCGTCTCTTGCAGCTTCCAGCTCAGATTGAAGATTCTCTATTCTTCGACTGATAACTTGTTCGTTTTCATCAAACGTCCATGAATCGAGTAAATCTAAAATTTTCATTTTGTTGGTCAAACACTATTTTCATATATGCCAGATTTGTGTACCATGAACATTTTTTTAAAACCAATTAAACAAAACAAACCAGAAGTCTCTGTCGAGACTGTAGCTCTACTGGTTTGTACTTATAACAAAGAATGAGAAAAGAAGCCATTGCCATCAGACCAAAACTATAGAAGGAGTAGCGTTTTAAAGGAATTTCACAGAAAATTCTATTTTTAGTAACCATGGCAACACCGTTCATCGAAATCATAAACCAATGCACTATTTTATGTATCTTAGTGTTGTCTACTTGTGTGCCAAATCATATTGAAATCAGATCAAAACTGTTGGAGGAGTAGCGTTTTAAAGGAATTTCACACAAAATTCTATTTTTAGTAACCATGGCAACACCGTTCACCAAAATCGAAATCCGATGCATTATTTTATGTATCTTAGTGTAGTCTACCTGTGTGCCAAGTAATATTTAAATCAGATCAAAACTGTAGGAGCAGTAGCTTTTTGAAAAATTGTTTACAGACAGACGGGACACCTTACTATCGCATATAAGCTCTTCTGGTCTCTCACCAGTGGAGCTAAAAAATAGGTTTAAATTTTCAGTTTCCATCTTAATCTTGATGATTCATGATATTGTCTCAAATTAAATGATGATTAACATGGCTATGTATAATTTTCAAAACATTGACTCAAATGGGTCCTGTAAACCTGAGCTATAATAAAGAATGAAATGTTTAATACCATTTTTGTCCTGAAGTTCATTTTTGAGTTTTTCTATCTGGAACTGGAGGCTAACAGTGTCTGTGTTTGAGTGCAAACCTCGTAAATCAACAATTAATCTCTCCTTCTCTTGTCCACTGGCAACTAAGGCCTTAAAGAAGAAAATTATATACTTTTTACAATATAAATTCATCAAATTCAAATCAAGTGCACAGAAAAAAAAATATTAACAGAATTTTGAATTAAAAAAAAATTATTTCAAAAACGACAAGATTAAACTTTTGAAAGAAAAACAAAATTAAAAGAAATTTTGTATTTACTACAAATATAAAATTCTAATAGAACAGTGAAGCTTAATTTAATTAACCAAATAATTTAATTAACCAAATTCAAAGTCACCTCAATGACTTTATCTTTTTCCTTAAGTGTCTCTCTCAAATCATCTAAAGTGTCTTGATTCCTTTTCTCAGACCAACCACACCTGTTTTCCACTGACTGTAAAATACAAATATATCTTATGTAAAAATTAAATTAAAAACCCTCTTAGATATTCTTTTTTATAATTTCAGTATCTCAGTGATCCCTACTGATACTTTCAGTGGAGGTTACACAGAGTTATCTCTCCTTGCTAACTCTCTCACGGCCAGTCACGGGCTATATAAGAGTTACCTCCTCCTGACTGATTACCTGCAGCTCCCTCTGGACTTGAGCCAGCTCAGTTTTGAGATTGTGAATTTCCTTGTCTAGCTTGTTCATTTCAGTGTCGTGTTTCTCCGCTTGTTTCAGTAGAGCCTCATCCTTGTCACGTAATTTCCTCAACAAACTGTTCAATGTCTCGGCATTTTCTGATTCCTGAAGAATTTGACAGAGAAATAAGAAATTCATCCAGCAATATACACATTATTACTGATTTTCCTGCAAAAAAAAAAAAAAATTTCTGATCACCCTCAATACAAACATACTTGGAGTTCAGCTTCTGGAAGTTTAATTCCTTTCTTCAACCTTTCAATCTCATTTTCTTTCTTTTTTATCTCTTCTTTGTGATCTTCTAAAGCATCCTGCAATGAAAAAAATCTCTTGTAAACAGACTTATATTTGTGTTGAAATTCCAGAAATTTAGGACAAATTTAAAGCATAAAACATTCTGCAAAGAAAATTCTTTTGTAAACTCAGACCTATTTATGTGGAACTCTCAGAAGTTCAGAAGAAAATTCATTAAATATTAAAACACCATTGATGAGATACATTTTGTTGAGGTGCAGTGATAATCATTTTTACCTGTAGAGATTTCTGGGATGCCTTAAGTGAGTTTGTCAGCTGTTTTAAAGTCTTGTCTTTCTCATCTCCTTCTTTCTCAAGGCACTGAAAGACACACCATTTCAATATTTATTCATTCCTTAAATAGTAATGCCCAATATATTTCACTGCTTAGCAAGAGAATAAATTCCGCAATTTTCACAATCTTTCTTTAAAAAAAATCAACAAAAATTTTCATTCCCAGTATTTGACTAAGACTCAGAAAGTTATATCATGATATCAAAATATTAAATTCTTTTATTTTTTCCAGTGAAAATCAAGATATACAAAAAACAGAGGCAAGATTTTTTTTTCTTGTGTTAATTTAAAATATTGAAAGCAATAATTCATCAGTGTACAAACTCAGCTTCACCCCCCCCCCCCCTCTTTTATTTGTACTCTTACTGCCATTACCTCAATGGTCTGTTCTGCCGTCAGTAACATCTGATTGGCTCGCTCCATCTCATGCTCTTTGTCACGAATCTCACGTCTCAGTTGTCGGATTTCAGCATCCTTGTCATCCGCTAGTTTCATCCTCTCATTCAAAGCCTCCTGACATTGAAAAACAAATCTCAATATTACATATTTTCTCTTCTTTTCAATATTAAGAGATATCTTACTAGATTTATGGAGTGTCATTTTGTTACTGTAGCAAACCATAAGATTCAGTTATTTAATTTGTGAGCAAAATCATTAAATAATTTTTTTTTATAATTTCCTAAAATTAACAATGTTAATGTGAGGGAGTATTTCTGAACTTCTAAAAATCATTGGAATCGGAATGTGACTCTGATTTCTTGTTTCCAAACATCTGTTTCACCTAAAAGCCTTTTCATAATGTCAGCAATATTTTGTTTGATTCTCTCAGACTCTAAATCTCCTGCTATGTCAATACACTAGTAGAACTAGGGAGATCATTATAAAACAGAGCTTAATGACTCAAGAGATTTACGAATTATGTTGTATGCATCAACAGAGATTGTATTCTAAAACAAAATAGTTGATACTGTCAATCAATCTTTACTTGAGAATACCGGGTACTTTATTTTCATGCAATTGTGCAAGATTGTGTGCTAGGGCAAAAACTTCATTCTCATATATTTTCATTCATATAAATGAATACTTGTGTCACAATTCAATTTTTTCAATACGATACAATTTAAGAACGAAAATATTGTGTAAGGTTAAAGAAAGCGTTTTCCTTCTCTAAAAAACAAAGAGTAAAAGGTGGTGATACAATAGAAATATACTACCAGGGGTATAAAATTAAAAACATGTATCTAGCCCACGGGCTAGTGGCAGCAAAAAGTTACCATCCAAAAAAAAGTATATTTTATAACAAATAATGAATCAAAAATTAAAATAAAAAAAATGTTGAAAAAAAATTAATCATTGAAAAAGTCAGGGTACTGAAGTCATCTTTTGAAAATTAAAATTTTTTTCTTTACTATTAAAATTAAATCATATAAAATTAATGATTTCACACACACAAAAATTTTAAAAAAAATCCCAATGCCTGATGCCCGGGGTTAGTGAATTTTAGGAGTGGGCATGTGAATGAATTTTAAATTCATTTGGCCCATGGGCAAATCCTTAAATACAAAAATATATTAAATTTGTGAATCACATGATCATTTAAAGCTGGGCAAAGGGTCTTGCATGATATACTCAATATTTGTCTTCCTCTTTTTTGAAATATTTATAAGTACAATATTAGTTTATGGTAGGGCATGCAAAAATTTAGGGCAAGTTAATTTTGACCAAGTACAGTACAAGCCGTTTAATATCATAGCTTATTTGTCAGGCCAAAACTTTATAATAACCGACTATGATTATAACCATGACAGCTGAAAAATATTCACTGGTTGGGAAAGTTGATAGCAAAAAATGCCTGCCGTTTTTACTTTATATTAAATATGTATTATAGTATTAATTTCATATTTTTAGGTTTATTTTGTTAAGTTGCAAATATCATTTTACTTTTTTTCTGTACTGATTAAGAACATTTTGTATAAATAAAGGCACTTTCGTAAAGCTTAATAATCTCCGAACTTCTCCCTCGTGTGTGTCAAACTTGTTAACTTTCATTTTGATCTATTTCGTTTTTAGAGTTCTATGATCAATTCAATCTATTAATAATTCGTTTGTTTTTTTTTTTTAAATGCAGTTTTAATGAAACACAAAACAAAAAGAGAACTTATATCTATAAAAAGTATATAAAAACGTACAATCGAAAAAAACATTGTGTTACAAAAATGTTAGTTCAACATTTCAGCATAATACAACTTGATATACCAACTACACAATATTTACGGTATCAAAATTATGTTACAACAAAACAGAACATGAATTAAAATTGTTTAATTTTGATGATCTTTTTCAACCTTCACAGCTATTTTCAGGGAAAATTCTCTAAAACACAAGCCCAATTATTTTCTTCCTTGCATCCATTTGTCTAATTACACTTAATGGTGCCGTTTAAAATGAAATTAAATTAATTGATACACTGATGTAAATCAAAAACGCTTGGACAGGCTGGTTAAAAAAAACATCACTTCTGATAAATACAATTTATAAATGTAATTAATTATGACCATTTTACAGGCAACAAAAAAATCTCAATTGGGTAAAATGGTCTTAATTTAGATTCAACACATTTTGGTAAAACACATTTATTATCAATTTACAATTAAACAATTAAACAAAAGAAGAATTAGATCCACCTTCCTGTTGTTGTGTAATGTACTGTGTCACACACACAAAAACTTCCAGGTAAATGCGCTGGAGTGTGACTAATCCCCCTCAGTCAAGCCATTGTGTATAGATAAGCGACAGTGCATGGGCCACAGGTGTTGACAGGTGTTATCTATTGTTTTGTTAATTGTCTCCAGAGTGAAAAAGGTGTAAAAAAATATTGTAAATCCATTCATGATAGTAACTGAAGTACACACTTTTACCTATGATAATAACGTAAGAAATTAACATTGAATTATTAAGAAATGGTTTTGTGTTTTAAATATCTATGATAAAAAACGGCCTATGATATAAAACAGGTATTAAATTAAACGGCTTGTACTGTACTTGCCTTTGGACAAGTGCCTTAAAAATCTATTTGTCAGCCCTTGTTGGATCCCTCTTCTTACCTGTGTTTTGAGCTTCATTTTATATTATTGGATCCCCTCCTTACCTGTGGGGTGGGTCTGAAGATCTCCATACACTGCTGCATCTGTCTCTCTTTATCCTTCAAACTGTCTGTTAGCTGTTGTATGATCTTATCCTTGGTTTGAAGCTGGGCCTCCAAGTCATCAATCTTGAACTGAGAGGACAATATCAATATATATAGAGTTTATATATCATTTGATGAAAGCATGTTATTAGAAGATTATTTTCAAATAATCAGTTATTCACCCAAATAAATACGTACATGTATGGCTAAAGATGGCTGTAATTACACTTTGAAAGATTATATGTCCACCCACATAAAATTCACAGGAAAATTAAAATATCATGTCAGTCTAATGCACACAATGATTAATATTTTTCAAACAATCTGTACATGATGATTTATTATAAAACAAAACTTAACATGATTTATTGTTCCAATATTACTAACACGTCACCATTCAATCTAATTAAAATCAGACTTCTTAGATCCGCGCCGTATACACTCTGCGCCACATCACTCACCCGAGTCACTAATGGCCCTGCTGTTCTTTAACAGTAGATCTTCCCCTTTATATTCTTATGTAAAACTTAAAATGATCACATAAAAGGGCCCCAGCCTACCCCAGAGAGACACGAATGTTGTAGCTTCTACCTACCCACACGTGCAAAGACCTGTAAATGTTATATAAATATTCCACCCAACCACAAATCTGCACGTTACATGTAACTTTAATCCACACACATACTCAAACTTAAATGTAACTTCCACCCACCCCCGCCTGTATATGTTACATGTAACTTCCACCCACCCACACCTGTATATGTTACATGTAACTTCCACCCACCCACACCTGTGTATGTTACATGTAACTTCCACCCATCCACACCTGTGTATGTTACATGTAACTTCCACCCACCCACACTTGCATAAGTTACATGTAACTTCCACCCACCCACACTTGCATATGTTACATGTAACTTCCACCCATCCACACCTATATAAGTTACATGTAACTTCCACTCACCCACACCTGTATATGTTACATGTAACTTCCACCAACCCACACCTGTATATATATGTTACATTTAACTCCCGAACACACCTGTAATTGTTATGCCCCCTACCCCCTCAGCGCACACATCTGTAAATATTACATGTAACACACATCTGTAAATGTGACATGTAACACACACTTGTACATGTTATACGTTATTTACACACCTGTAAATATTACATGTAATTTACACACCTTCAAATGTTGAGATCTGTAATCCTCTGAAGCTATTTCCTTCTCTTTCCTCAGCTGACACTGCAGGTCCTGTCAATATATCAAGGATGAAGATAGAACACAGTTCAAAAATACAAATTTTGTCGCACAATAAGATACAAATGTCTTCTTTTAAAATATTTTTTCCTGAAAATGTAACTAACTCCATCTCTTGATTGTAATCAGCCTTCTATTGGAATCTTCCTCCACTCCTTTTTAACATGTTTAATAGCTGAGAAAAGCAAAAAAAAATTCCCATTGTGTGATAAAACTATTCTAAAGCTCTGCATGACTTCCAGCTTTTAAAGTAAAAATATTTTTCCATGGCACTGTCCTATTTAATAGTATCTTCAGATTTCAAATGGCCATCAACTCTTCTTCTGGTAATATTGTATTAGATACATAGATGCCTGCACATGTGGTAAAGAATAAACATGATATCTGTTATATTTCAAATTTCATCTATACGGAATACTTTCTTTGGCTGACAGGAAACAAACAGCATTAATTTGTATCTAAACTACATATAGGCTTTATTCATACAATATATATTTGAAAGACATTCTCGTCACGAAACTCTAAGTCTCTGACCAGAATGCAGCTCTAGTGGTCACATAAGCTTGAATTGGCTGGTTTCTGACCACATCAAATGTCATTAACATTAATTTTCACTATAGCACACTATTTATTTGCAATTATGAAGTCAAGTTAGTAAACCACAGAGTTAAGAAAATATTGACTTTGTTTTTATCAAAAGGGACAAAACATCTTTGAGTAAAACGTACATAGTATCATTGTTGATTAATCAACACAGTAAACTAACACCAAACTTAAATTTCTATACATACAAACAATTAAATATATGATTCCATCCTAAATTAAATCCAGAAAGCTTAAACTGATGAATGTCACAGAAATAAAGTAGACTATGAGTCTATGTAATTCTGTTTACTTTAAATATCCAAATAGGCTAAAATAAATATTCAATTATTTACCAACTAAGATTTCATTTTTCAATGTGCCCTAAACAAAAGATGTCAAAAGGGGTTCTTTTCTTTGATTTATTTATTAAAATTAAAATTATTTGTTTACAAACTAAGATTAAATTTTTAACAGAAAATGCCAGACCTGACAACTTTATGTGCCTAAAGTGCTGGCCACTGGAAATGTCATTCAGATCTTATTTTAAAAAAATCAGAGAGAGCTTTCATTTATTTAACTTATTCAGATTCAAACTATTTTCCTAAACAATACACAACTGAAATCTAAAGGGTCTTATATTGCTATCAAAACAACTAACAAGTTATTTTCTGCAAAAGTGTTTGAAAAGGGAACATGGCCCTCTGCTTGCTTCACTTGAAATAAAATTTTCTCTCAGTATCATGTTTGTTTCAGAGTATGAAGTCAAATTGAATTAAGCAAATTTATAATGATTACTGAGTTATCTCCCTTAGCAGAGTGTCATTCCCCCTTAAGCCTAATCCCCTACCTGCACAGCATCTTCGCTCTGCCTTAGTGCTGTCTCTGCCTTGTTCAGCAGCTCTTTGAATCCCTCTAATTCTCCCTCCTTCCTACCCAGAGTTTTCAGCAAATTCTGTGAAGAAAAATCAGCACAATCATTGGTCAATTTTTCTAAAGCCAATCTCTCTTCTATCAACTCCTTCGTCCATATTTCCTCTAAATTAGAATCCCTGAACAAATCGGTTACGCAGTCTAGATTTGAATCCCAAGTCCCACTCGAATCAATAGTCCATTTGGGATCACTTAGATTTGATGGGAATTTTTCCTCAATGCCTGAATCTTCTTCTAACAATTCAGAAGCCCATTGTGGTTCCATATGTTTGCTTCCATTAAGGTCACTATCTACTGTAGCCTTACTTTGCTTTGGAGCAAAAATTCCAGAGTGCATATTCCAAGTTTGTTCTACTCCAAAGTCCCATGAACTATCCTCACTAGAATCCCACGCAATGTCTCCCCATTTAAAATCCATGGTTAATTAATTCTGGTAATGCAACATATAGATTGGCATCCTCTCAGAATGTCAGTACAAAAAAAAAAATCTGCAATCCTTAGGATGACATAAATTCTTAAATCAGACTTCAGAAGCTAAAAGCCTTGCAAGCTTGTTTCTGCTTTTTATTGCTGTTGGAACATTTTTTGGTCCAGCCATTATCTTTTTCCATTCATTTTTTGCCCCCTTAAAATTGTACTCCAAGATTATATGACAATAAAATAAAAATAAATAATGTCATCCCGCCAAAAAGGACAAGCCAAATAAAAATCCAACTTTTAAATAACAATTACACTGATAAAGCTTTAAGTCAATCTGTTTTGAACAATTTGACACTAGCTAATACACAAGCCCCTTTGGATAGTTCATTTAAAAGGGCAATTTCCTTATAGGTATCTGTAGACATCGGTTTACCCTAACCCTGGATCAACGAGACCTCGCACAATGAATTCCCCTCGGGCCCTAGGGAGCTCTTTCACGGAATAAAAGTTGATTTTAAGAATGAACACCTTATATCAATAAAGACGACTTAATTACACCTTTTGGGTCAATAAAGTTAATTTGGCTGAAAGGTCAATACACAGAATTATAATAGGATCATGCTTTGCCGTTTTACCAAAAGGGAAAAAGATAATAAAACACAAGCTAAAAGACTAATAAATTTGGGGAAAATAATATTAAAACATCATGGAAAGAATTAAATGGATTAGGAGGCCAGAAATATTTTAAAACAGGAGAAATATCAGCCAAATTTTATTAGCTATATAAAATTTTTATGTCTTAGTCCCTGGAACTTCATCAATTTTTTCAAAAATATTCCATTTCTTATGGGTATTTAAGAGATTAACAATCAAATCCCCCCTCAAATAACAAATATCATTGATGTTTAATTCTACCACGTATTTAATCAAAGACTTCGAATCTAGCATCCAGCATTTCTTTGCACTTTTAAGAATTTTCTAGTTTTAATTTTTCCATCCACGAACTTTTGAAGTTCAAGTAAAAAATCACTTGAACATAAAACACAAAAAAGCCAAACCTTAACATTTAAAATCCAGTGATTAATTAAATTAAAGAATTTTATCCCACTGAGAAAATTTATGCACTACTTTGTTCATATTTTCGTCATGTTTGATGCAGTTTTGGCAGTGTGTCTTTCAGCAAATTGCTCCAAAGTTCAAAAAAGTTAATACAAATTCAGCAATAAATCACCGAAAAATAAGCCCACAAGTCAATCTTAATCCCCCCTTGCTCATCAAGGTGTACTTAAATCGACCAAATGATGCCTTGACGCTTAGGTGTTTACCAAATATTATACTTCCAACCGCGCAATACACATCAATTAAACCTGATATCTATTGAGGACTATATCGCATGTCTTCAAAAGCATCCTATTGTGACCCTACAAGTCTATTATCATTTGCTGAAATTTCCGAAGAGCTTCTTTTATTTGAGGTTCAACTGCCCATACGCTTCCCATTGAACGTCCCAATACCCTATCGTGTGTATATCTGACGCGTGCCATAGGGGCGTGTAAAGATCAGACAAACTGGACAATTAACTCTGTAGAATTTGGTGCAGAATTTAAAAATCTTCCTGAACCTTTAAAGTATCACTTGATTAACATCAAATAGTTTGGTTTATAAATCCCATTTATTTGAGCCTGATAGATAGTGCATCTGTTAAATGGCTGTGGATATATCCCTCCCAAGTAGTGATGGCACTCTAGACCTTTGATTTGTTTTGAAAGGTGGAAGCAAAATCATATATCAACATAAACATGTACATTGTATGATCAACAGTCTACTATTTGTCATAAACCAACAAAAAATAACATTTATTCTATTATTCTATTCAAAGACAATTCAAAATTCATATTGAACATCTAAATTGTCACTCTTTCCTGAATTTGGATAAATTCTTTTACACCTAATTTCTCTCTCAAATGTTCACAGTAAATGAAATCCACAATATTTTATAGTCTATACTAGTATAATAAAGATTTTGACTCCACATTAAAAAAAAAAAAGTGCTGAAAATATTATCTGAATCAATTTAATTTTCTCATATTTTTGTATTATTTTTCATCAATATCACTGTGAATATGGCTATTTCAAGCACATACTCCCATAGTGACCATTCTAATAATAAATTAAAACTGTATTAAATATCACCTAGTCTTTGCCAGAAATTAAAATGTATCCTAAAATAGCAGAAAGAACCATCATACATCAAAATACATGTACAATGTATATACTACGTTTAATTCTAGCTCTTATATACAACTTCAGTACATGTCACCCGAGACTTGTACCCGAGTGTTCAGAGCTCATGAAACAGAAAAAAAAATGGCTACCTCGACTTCCAGCTCCCGTTCTTTGAGATGCAGTTTCATGCTGGACAAACTGTCTTCTAAAAACGTGAGGTCCTCATGCTGTTTGTCTACCTCCTAATTAGTAAACAAAACACACAAAGAAAACAAAACAAATCAGAAAAACATCAATTACAAACAAACGCTATAAAACAACTCAAGTAATTAGTCATGCTCTTTTATTCAGTGTTTACACATTCTCCTATGGTGGTTTATACAGATAAATTTGTCTCATATGAATTTACTCATGTGAAATTCAGAATATTGATGATTCCTATTTTGATCTCTTTTCATACGAATTGCATGCAAAATTTCACATGAATTAATCTGATTTATTTTAGATTTGTCTGCATATCTAAAAACTTCTTATATTATCAACAGTTTTTGTGGGCTTGTCAAGTTATTGTGATCGTATTTTCATAATAACAAAATGTGAGACGTATTTTATACTAAAAATCCATACAAAATACAGTGAAATCATAAGAGTAAACAGGTCTGTAATTGTAGCTCTCAATAAAAAGGATTGTTTAAAAATGCAGGTTGAATTCAATGTCAACAAAATAAAAACATTTGCATGGGTCTTTTCAGTTAATTATGAAATCACTGCATTTTAGTAAGAAGAAAGGGTTTCATCAGCCTGTTCAATAAACATCTTCAAAATATTATTCTCATTCATTTGCACCCAAAAAGTACCAGTAGGTAAAAGTATCAACAATGAGTTTTCAATATTTTCACTAAATGCAGGAGATCAAAGCATTCGTCTATTTTTACAAATTAACACACAAAAGAGAAGGTGCTCTTTCATCAATACACAAAAAATACAAAATAAGAAATTCAAATTGGACAAAAATCCCCACGATAGAGTAATCCACGGCTTTTAAATGTTTTCTTTCTATATTGAGGAAAAAGTTAAACTCGCAAGACAACAAAGACATTTTAATTGCATTTTATACCCCGGTGAAGTTGATTTTAAACAAAGGTCAGTCGAAGGCGGATTACTCTCATTTAAAGTGCTAACTGCTATTCTTTTTCTTCTGTTATAACTAGTAATCTCTAGTAAAAACAATTCACTAGCACCTCTCCAGGGCTCTTATACCCTCTTTTCCCCGCTAAGTACAATCATACAGATTTTTTAGGCAATGATTAAACACTTTCAAATGCTTTTAATGTGTATAGTTGATTGTAATAATTTTACAGATAATATACTTTTGATCCCCTCCTTCTGCCATTGTTCTTAAAATCTTGTTTTAAAAGTTTGGAGATCAGATGTTTTTGGAAAAGAAGATCAAGTATTTTGTACATCAGACATGCATACATACTATTCTTGCATTTCATACTATACATTAGCCTACACAGTCATGCAATAACTCTAAAGTACACTAAAATGCATGTCCATAACTCTACTTATCAAAAACTTAATATCATTTTCTTTTGTTTAAAAGCCCATCTTTATCCCACCCTCCCACCCCCCCCCCTCCCCCTACCCCCCATCCAAAAAAAATCAATTGAAACATATTTCAGAAACAATGCAAATGACAACCTCACACAAATAAGAAAACTTTAAGATCAATTTAAAAATCACTGCAATTCAAACAAACACAGCACATCATCACACAACATGAGGGGGACCCTACCTTCTGTTTCTGAACAGACAGGGTGTGGAGTTCATCCTTACACTGTCTGAGCTCCTCTTCCTTTCTCTCTAGTTTATCCTTCAAGTCATCGACCTGTTAGATGATAGAAATATCATGATCAAATAATTATCTCAGTAAATTTGATATGGCTTAAATGAAAAAAAGTTTCATTATATAAATTGTGCCTACTTTCTATTCTCAGATACATCTGCGTTTGCACGTTGCTAACAACTTCAGGTAAGGTTTATGATGAATTTTATGAAACGTTATATATAACATCTTAAACATGCTGTAGAATTCTCTCTTTTTTTGACTCCATAACATCAGAAACCACTAACAATATATCTCTGCAATATCATGCTCAAAATAAACCCAAGTCCCATCTTCACCCTAGAATCTCAAAATTGTCGGAAATGATTACATTGTAGAAACTGATATGCATGTAGACATTTATTGGGAAAATGTTTAATTTTTTGAATCAGTTTAGAAATATTGAACATAAGTTAGCTTTAACAGCATGATCTGTATTAGTAACCATATTTATATTCTTGCATTATGTCTTAATTGTGTTGGACATAATACATTTAAATGATGTGATAAATGAACATAAGATGTAGCTATAATCAGGAAACGTCTTTCAGTTGTGATAAAACCGAAAATTCAACAGTCAACTTTACTAAGATATTGTGTCCACACAATCATAACCACAGTGGAATATCATTTTTTAGCAAAATAAATTACTAAGATATTGTGTCCACACAATCATAACCACCGTGGAATAGCATTTTTTAGCAAAATAAATTATCATTTTCTAGGAAGCAACCTAAGGGGAATAACTCTTAATGACCATATCACAAAATTGTGCAACGCACTTCAACAAATCTGAAATTTGTGCAATTCACATTATTTTCACCTAAAATGTGCTGGTACCTGAATTTCCAAATATGTTAAATTAAAAAGTAAACCCTGTAAAAGGGAAAGTATCACAGCATTAGAAATGTATACAAACAAAATGATTTCTGCATTTTTGAAAGATATTTTACTTATTTTATTTCATGTATTTTTTATTATAAGGTATATGTAGAATAGTCTAGGAGAAAAAAAATCCTAGTCATACAAGACATTTCTTCTCATTATACAATTTATGTAATGTGGAATCATCATTGCAGGGGAACAATGCACCTGGATTATGTGGATCATCCACAATTTTCCACCAAGTTCAAAACCTCATAAATGAAATATTTAGTCAATGTATCAGTTTATTGAATCTTCTGCATAAAGGAATCACTCTCAAACTATTATCCTTGCAAACCAGTAAAATTTTGGTTGCCCAAGAACATTAACTCCCCCCCCTAAATTAAAATGATTCAACAGTATCGATTGACCACTGACCTCTTTATTTCTCTTCCTGAGGTCCTGATGTAGACCTTTAACAGTGGAGTCCCACACTGGCTGTAAGTCTTCATGCTTTTTTAATTTGTTGTCTGCCTCTTTTAATTTCTTCAGAGCATCCTAGAGATAACAACGCAACATTTTAAACTATTCATGGCTATCACACAACATCCAAGTCATTTCAGGTATACATTTTTAGTGTTTATGTTCTTTAATTTTTTTTTCTTCAAAATTTACAAAAAAAATTATAATTTTTGTCATTTTCTGAAATCTGAAATGGTTCTAAAATGTCTTAAAAATACATATGCTAAAATTTTCAAGGGTTTTCAAGAAATACCATCTTTTAGAAGCTTGTGCAAATGCCTTGTAATATACCACTAATTTGTTTTAGAAATCTTCAAAAAGTAGGAATACTTCAATCAAAAATTCTTAGGGAAAATCATAAGGAACATATTCTCTGGACAGGAAAAATCAACACTTACTTTCTTTTCTTCTTCATTTGCTTTCAACAGATCTTCAAGTTTCTGCAAGGTAATTCAATTTCTTTATCAAAATTTAGTTGATGAGAAAGTGACATAACTCACAAACTATATGCTAACTTAGTTTCTCTGAATTTCTTTGTCCTAAATGAGTTCACAGTTACATGTATCTGTAAATTAAAATAAATTCCATGTGCTTCTTTTTTCAAAGAATTTACTTCCCCCTCCACCAAAGTATAATCATTCCTTATGGATATGAAGATGCCATACTTACTCCAATCATTTCATTCTTTTTGTTGGCATCTTCCTTCAGATCCTCCACTTTAGTTTTCAAAGTTTCTAATTCAGATCTCTGATCATCCACCTCATCCTGACAAAGAGCAAAGATTTGGATTTTAGACACAAATTATTTCTCTATCTTTTTCCAAATTAATATTGTGCATTTAAAACTGAAATTTCTAAACACATGTACCAATATGCAATCATGCATGCTAACTACAAATTAGCAGTGATCACTGAAAAAACAGCATTAAAAGCATTGACTTTTTCCATTCTTCTGAGTTTAAAAACTACTACATAGCTCATCTCAACAAATATTGCATATAGTAGGTATGTGCGATTTTATCGGTATACCGGTAACAAATATAGCATAGACAAGGCAAACCGGTTTTACATTCCAAATGAAATAATTCATTTATTTGTTAATCTTTCAAATTACAATTGCATTTTTTATGTATGGATTGACATGGTAATTTTATGTACATAAAAATTTCAAAAAATGAAATTTTGTGTTTAGCATATTTGTAAGAAAAATTATGACTTTTTATTTAAAATCATTGCAAAATTTTAGTAAAAATCTCAGGATAAACCTTTGTTGAAAAGACAAACTTACATCTCATTTTAATCTGAATCAAGCATTGTTCACAAACAGGACTAAATGTTACTTTTCAAAAAATGATTATAACCTGACATACTAATGTTTGTAGTATTTTGATTCCTTTTTGTTGAGATGAGCTCAAAATGACTTAAAGTGAAAAAGCAAACTAATAAAAGTAACTATACTTCAGCCATACACATTACCTGTAAACTTTAAAACTAATAATTTCTACCTTGCCACTACCTCTTTATGAAATTTATGGGTAAGTTACAAACTAAACACTACCTAAAAATTCTTGTTAATGTAGGAAATGGCAATACAAAAGAGTAATGTGTAAAAGAGGAAGGAGAAAGAAAATAGGACTTTAGACCACAAACCAAAATCAACATCATCCAGAAGGAAATATATAAAGCGTACCTACTCATGCAACCAATATAAAAGTGAACTTTTCTAGTTGTAATATCAGAAGGGGTGTTGGAAAAAAAGGAAAATCAAATTATTGAAGCATGAATATTTGATTATTAAAATACCGGTAATAATACTGTGAAACAAAGTTTAAAACATTGTACCCTGTTCTTGAAATAAAATTTCTAATATTCTGAGATTTAAAAAAAAACTTTTTTTCCTTTTGTTTCTGTTAAACAAAAGCTACTCTTCAAATATTCATATATTTCCATTTTTTAAATTCAATTCCATTGCAATGCATGACAAGTTTTAGTTTAATTTTTTTTGTTCATCAATAAAATACACACCTAACTTTATTTTAAAAATTGTCAATTTGGTTAAGTAGACAATCTGCATAAAAAGTACCATATAGGAAACATTGCAAATTACATATAAATAATACAAATTGATGAAATCAGATTCTTGCTTAGATAAACACTGAAAATGAATACACAGGATTTGTAAATAATATATGTAACATAAATAGTAAGGTGTCAATAAGTGATCATGTCTACTGCAATGTTAGATAGGATTCCTCTACTGTGAGTGTTAGTGGGTGCAAGGTAAGGCCCATCTACCTTTGGTAATTAATTCTAGCGTTAATGACTGAGACCCACCTGTAGATGGCGGGGGGCCAGGAAGGACTCACTTTCTACCTGTGTGGTGTCTTTGACAATACAAGACAAATGCTGCATGCCAGAGAGAAAAGAAAAACAAACATGATCAGTGATGATCGGAAATGACCATGGCTGGGCATGGAGGAAAGAGAACTATCTACAATATCACATTCACATGGAAACATTCAATGACATTTATTTCAATTCCTGACAATGTGGTCCTATACATTATTATAGCATCAATATAAAAATTAAAATAAGAAAAACAAATATTTTTCATTCCCAGTTAACATGGTTAAAAGATTGTCAAACCAGCAACTCATTTCTATTATCCTAAGTTATTCAACACAATGAGTTACTCCACTAAACAGATGTTGAGAGAGATTCAGGTTAAGTTATAGTGGTTCTAAACTCTTGAAATTATTTTTTCTTTATGTTAAAGTGTGTCACAATAAAATTTTTATTTGCATAAAAAATGCACTTTATAATTAATACAGATTTTAAAATCAAAAACTCTGCAGAACAATGAAATGATCTTTACATCATAATGTGGCTAAAAACTTTTCATGCACCTAGTGAAGAATGAACCACATCTTTCTAAAATGCAGTGAGTTTTGTACACAGAGTATACACTATCCACAATTGTGTACCAACCTCCATATCCCGATCTTTGCGTGACAACTCCTTCTCTAACATTTCAACCTTTTCCTCAAGGTCCTCTTTCATCCTCTGAAGATGGTCTGCCTGCCCCAAGTTTTTCTGATTCTCTTCAATTTGAGCTTCCAGCTCCCTTCAAAATGAAAAAAAAATATATTCAAATCTCCATGCCACCACAAATGACAAATACAACAACTTTGAATTGGCTTTCTTAAAAAATAATCTTACCTTCTTTGTGCATCCAAATCTTCCTTTAATGACTAAAAGTAGAGAAAATCGAAGCAATGAATTATAAAAATGTGATTAACTTTAATTCTCTGCACTTTAATTCTCTTAATTTATTAAGAACACCATGTATATCTTTTCCATTTATAAATATCTTCACCATTTCTAAAATATTTCATATACTCCAATATCATTCCTTGCTTATTTTGTCAATTTTCCTAGAATTCATTTTAATTTTTTTCTATTACAGCCTACTTTCTGTCTTTTTTTCTCTAATAAGACCTACCTGCATCTGGATTTCTTTGGACTGTTCCAGATGCCGGATCTCCATCAGGAGTTGTTCATTCCGGTTCTCCAGGTCAGCCAGCTGATGGGTAGCTTCCTGTAGGGACTTCTGGGAAGCTTCCACCTCCTGATGGGAAAAAATCAAGAAATGATGGGAAAAAGGCAGGAAATGATGGGAAAAAGTAGAAAATCACAGAAATTAAATATAAACTACTCAAACACTGTTATCAATTCGCAGGTATCCTCTTATCTTTTGGATCCTTTTCTGGGTTGTTATTACATAATAAATAATTAATGGTTCATTTCAACATCAAATTGTTCAATTATGATAATTCATATATAATAAAAAAAATCAACAGAGCAAAACAAATTAACAGAAATAATCTCGCCATCTAAAATGCAAGAGTCATTTCAGGAACAACATAATCATTAATCAATAAAGCAAGACATTAATCAGGCCCAACAAAAAATTTTTTTCTGCATAATCTCTCGATCTCTTGTCACCTTCTTTTTACACTCCACTTCCTCCTCCAGTTTCTGCCTGACCTCGCTCATTTCTTCCTCCATTTCTCGTCTCATTTCTTGCAAGTCTTCTTCACGTTTGGTGGACAATGTTTCTATGGCTTCCCTAGAGGGAAAATAGAATAAAATGACTTCGTCTATCCTTATATTTTTTCTTGATTGATAATATTCTGAATTTTTTTTTACCATGTTTACAGATAGGAGATAATGACTTTGATCACAGGCAAAATTCACAGCTGATGCAAAATCTTTCAGTGATTGGGAAGGCCAAAATGGTCAATCTCTTACAACATGTTTGATGGGCCAGAAATGGGCCATCAATATAATCTGAAGGGCCATTTTAAGAAATAACAAAGTGACAAACAAATATGACATACGAGAAAAAATGTTTTAATTACCCAAACTGATTTTTAACATATGCAATGCAGCAAATTTAAAGGAACTCGCATAGAATATAATTGACCCGTATTTTGTGTTAAAAATTACGACAGTTTTGGAAAGGGAACAACCCTAACATACAAATGAATGAAGTAGTGTACCTAATGTAAGTGTTTCGTTTAACCGGAGGTATTTTTTGATGGGGTTCAACCAATGAGATTTGTTGTTTTAAATTGACTGCATTTAAAACGAAAGTAAAACAAGTAAGAAAGTCGTACGCAAAATATTTCAATATAACATCGCTAAAAATTGAATGTGCACCTTGGCGCCATGATTGATTGATTTAATGCACCATTTTTCACTTGCGACTATGGTGCGTGGTGCAAGCCCTTCCCAATCACTGATCTTTTTCCTTTTTGAAAGTATCTCTTACATTTAACATGTTTAACAATACAGAATTATCAGAAGAATCAACTAACCAACAATTAACAAATAGAATACTTACGAGGCCTTTTTCAATAATTCTTGTTTTTCTTTCAGTTCCTTCTTTAAAGTCTCCACCTCTACTTTCAGTTCAATATTCTACAAATACAGACATTTAAGTTAGCATCATTTTCTGCAAAAATTCCTTTTCTTAAACTAGTTAAAGACATGTGCATGATTCTTCTTCTAAATAGCCTTTATGAATTGTCAGGACACAAATTTTCTCAAAAACAAAAAAAAATCCTTACAATTTTGAACACATCGTCCCCATCTCCAAGCCTCTGTTGCATTCTCTCCTCCATAAAATAAATCCTCAGTTTTAAATTAAAGTTCTCCTTCTTCAGGTCTGTTATTTGCTGTTTTTAAGGGAGGGAAAAAGGAAATTTTGATCAACCATTGCAGATAGTATCTCTTTCTTTTTTCATCCATTGATTGTACACAAGTTACGTTCTGTAAATTACAAAATCTTTTAATTAATGCTTATTGTCCATTTTATCTCGGTTTCTTAAAAAAATTAAGGCATTCAACTTTAGGCATCATCATAACCTTGATATATTTCCATTAATAATTTATCTAACAGCATTTTTTTTAATGAGAGACTTATGCAGAAAAAAGAGATATGGACCCTTATATAACATGTAAAGACTTGATAATTAGCGATTTGCTATCTTACTGTGTCATATTCCTTCATGGTCCTGGACCGAACTGGTGACATTCGCCCTGTGTTCATCTTTGTTACCACTGAGGAAAAAAATATCAGAAAGAAAAATGTAATATTGAAAATATGGTTATTTCATTGTGTAAAATAATTTCCAAAATTAAACTTCAAGATACTATCTAAAGATTCTTAATCCTTCAAAACAAAAATACTTTTATGTACTATGTATTTACAATTTTACACACAGAAACACACAGGCCATTTTATGTTTTTAGGATGAAGGTTTTACCCCATATGCAAAGAGACCTAGTCAATATATTCAAAATCACTTCATCACATGATAGTAACCTAATAATAAATAGTTTTGTACTATTAATAGTTAATATAGAACAATTTTTCCTACTTACTTGGCACCGTCCCATCGGGGTACTCTAGGTAGGGTCCAGAGTTTAGATCCATCTGTAATTTATCCGTGTTCAAGCTACAAAAGACACAAGAAACTTAAAACATTTCTGTGCAGAAATAATTATGCAATATTAAAAAAACAAAAGAGCAACTGGAGTGTAGAAAAAAAGAATTGTTCCTGACAATGTGCAAGATTTGAAAATCTACTTTTAGTTTTTGCACCTCATTGCATACTAGATCTATGCTGCAGTGAATTTGGTGTTTTAAAACACTTTATGATTTCTTAATAAATTCTCAGTCAATGTAATTATATGAAATTGATACAGAAAACTACTGACAATCTCATGTTAAGTTCATTAAAGAGGTAATTTTCTAGGTATTTCCTAACATTCCTTAATATTTTGGGGTGAAATCAACTACTAAATCAGTGTTATTTAGTGAATTTATGAGAAAATCATCTATCTGAAAGCAGTGGCTCAAACAATAATAATCAGAAATCAGAGAAGTCTTATTCTTCTACATCAAAACGCAATCAATAAAACCCCACAACTGCCATTCAGCATGTTACATAATTCTGAGAAGTTTCAACTTCAAATAAAGCCAGACTTAGAAAAGATAAAAACTGTATGCTTAGTTTAAACTCATTGCGAACCTTGCCACATGACACCCACACACAAAATCACGTACTTCGTGAGCATCATCATAAGAAAATTTGTAACAATTGACAAAATACAATAATATAACACAAAGAATCACAAATATATGATTTCTATCCTACCTTAATCCCTACCATGATACAGAACTTATCATTCCTACGTGTTAAATTACATCTGAGACGCGTTTACAAACTAGACACACAATGAAGTTTCAAGTGTCCTTGACATTGTATAGGAAGTTGCAAGCAGTCATCAGCTAAATATTTCCTGCTTTGTCCATCCTTGGAAAATAACCTTTGTCTTTTCTAACATGCATTGCACACAATTGATTTTTTTTTTGTCTTCTATCGTAAGTTGTCTTTTCCCAGATGACACCATCTGTCCATAATTAATAAGCAATGTTCAATTTCGTTCTCCAACTTGTTATAATTACATTTTTCACACGATCAGTCCCAATGATCACATGCGTAATGTTATGACACCATTTAACTTCAAATATTTCATTACTTTGATAATATTATTTTGGAAATAGATTTCTTAAGACCTCCAGATTAATCTTTGAAATCATGTTTTTATTTGAAACAAAGCCATGTGCTAAAGTCTGCCAATGACACATGACAACGGTTTGATCGTGGCACTAGGCCCCCATATTGCCAAATTGACAGTATCTCCTGACAGTATCAGCTTACATCTATTGTGATCCGGTGATCTCAATCAGCCATATTAAAAGCCGAGCCACATGCCAAGTCATTCCCAAATTAATACCCATTCTTATACTCTCAAAAACAAAACAGTATACTTTGTACCATTTAATACTCCATCACCTTTGTGAATTTTTTATGAATCCCTCTCCATTCCTCCCTGAAAATTAGACTACCATCACCAAATCTGTCTAAAGAAACTTTTTTTCCCATCGGAACTTTTTTTATTGGGTTTCACACCAAGCTAAATTAAACCATTATCAGGAAATTAGGGGGGACTGGCAATAGATTAGAAATACTGGATCTCTCTTTCCTCACAAAGAAACTTGATGTCTGAAGCAGATAACACCAGGGAGCCTGACCCAGATAAAACTATACATGTACTGTAAACAAACTGGCCACATGTACATGAAACTAACAAGATACTGAAACTTACATGCTACAGGAGTGGTTAAAATATGAATGGAATAGCATTCCTACTGTCAATATCAATTACCAAAACACACGAACCTTAACTTCTAGGAAAATATCCCTGTATTTACTACGTAATTCCCAGAATTAATTCGTTTTACATCACTATCAGTAACTACTGAATCACAAACACATGTGTACACTATTTTAACTTGATACAAGCCTACAGGAAATACATTCTTCACTCCTTTAAATTTTTTTCACAGGATATTCTCAATTGAATGACACAAGAGTTTTACACACACACACATCAGCCAAAAAGATATAAATAGTTCTCGATTCTTGGCGGTTGATGATTGGGTAACCCCTTGTGTTGCTGAAGCCAAGTACAGGATGATAACCAATGTCTTATAATCTATGTTGCTGGTAATTGGGCTATCTCATTCAATGTGCCAGTGGTATGTGTATGTATGAAATTATATGTGCTGGTGTCTAAATGCCAAGGACTCTGCAGGGTGCCTGTGTTCAGATCAATAACCAAGAAATGATCTCGGTTAAACAGCTGACCAGTAACACTCCTATAGTACATAAAGTCATTATGAAAGAACATGACAAGCGATGAAGGTGTCTGGCATGAAATGGACCCAAGGAATAACTTAATTAAGTCACATAAAAAACGAGATTTTTTTTAAAAACACTTGGGTATGTCCCCTCACCCAAATAATTGGAATTTTTTTAAGTCCAAAAGGGCATAACTCTATCAAAAATGATGCGATCGTACCCATAACAGAACTTCACTTAGATATTCATATGATAAATCTACAAACCAAATTTCGGGCAAATTTCATTTCAGTTTGTGCAACCTCTGCAAAGAAAAAGAACAGAAACTGCAATTAAATGGAATTTTCCTAAGTTCAAGGAGCATAACTCTGTCAAAAATGGTGCAATTGTACCCAAAAGAAAACCTGACCTAGATATTCATCTGATAAATCTGTATAGCTATAGTAAATTTAATTTCAATATGTGCATTCTCTGCAAAGAAAATGAGCAAAAAAATTGTAAATAATTGGGATTTTTCTAAGTCCCAAAGGGTATAACTCTGTCAAAAATGATGTGATCATACCAAAAACAGAACTTGACCTAGATATTTTTAGGATAAATCTGTATACCAAACTTCTTTTCAGTATGTGCAGCAGTTGTGAAGAAATTGAATGGAAACTTGGTGGATTACTTCATCCCCTCAAACTCTGTTACGAGGGGATAATCAAATGCACTTATCATTAATGTTATATGTCCCTGGGTTTTTCAACTGAAAATCAGAGGATCTTTTACAATTTTCTACAACAAATGATTTTTTTTATGCAGATGAGCAAAGTCTTTTCAAGCTTGCCAAATACAATATTTCTTGTGTATCAAAATCTCCCTAGCATCAATCATTAAGATGATGAAAACTTCGATGACTTTTACTGTTTTATTTTGGTTTGCATGGTGTACCGAAAATTTCAGTGCATCACAATTCATACTGTTCAAATGATGCATCAATCCAGAATTGAAAAACATAGGTAATCAAAGATTACGAAGCTCACCTCGATGAATGTTATCAGTATAAGTAATGCAAATCTCACATCATATTTTCTTAATAGTTAGAATTTATCTTGACAATAATATTCAAGCAAGTCTTAAAGTTCACTGGGGATTGACCTGTTCCAAAAACTAGGTCATATCCAGCATCTGAAGCAAGTCCGGTAGTGTCTATTACTAGATGCATCATCCATGCAAGTTTGGTCCGGGTAGAGCTTATAGTTGCTTGAGAATGGACCTGCTCCAAAATGTAGGTCAATTCAGTATACAAAATTTCATTTAGTAGTGTCCATCCCTAGATGCATCATTCATGCAAGTTTGGTCCGGGTAGGGCTTATATAGTTATTTGGGAATGGATCTGCTCCAAAATTTTAACCTATTCAATCATTTGGAAAATGTAGGTCACATCCATCATCCGAAGCAAGTCTGGTAGTGTCCATCCCTAGATGCATCATCAGTGCAAGTATGGTCCGATTTTACCCATAAACAGGTTTTGACCTGATCCAAAAACTTTACCCTGATCACTCAGATGAAAAATCTAGGTCACATCCAAATATAATACATGTATTTCTTGTGTATCAAAATCTTCCTAGCATGCATCATCCTTGCAAGTTTGATGATTTTTATTGTTTTGGGAATGGACCTGCTCCAAAAACTTTAACCTGGTCACTCATCTGGAAAATGTAGGTCACATCCAGCATCCGAAGCAAGTCTGGTAGTGTCTATCCCTAGATGCATCATCCATGCAAGATTATTCCAGGTAGGGCTTATAGTTACTTGGGAATGGACCTGCTCTTAAAACTTTAACCTGGTCACTCATCTGAAAAAGTTATATCACATAACAGCACCAAAATGTCCTTGTAGTTATTTTCAGATAGCCTTCATCTAACAAGTTTGGTCTTGGGATAGGGTCTTTAACATAGACATAAATGACATGTTTAATGACTTTGCTATAACAAATTTACCAGGACGCCGACATGCTAACGCCGACCATTTTTTCTGTGGGTATACCTTTACCTAAGCATCCCGACTTCGTCGAGGTTTTATTAAATTTGCATTACACCAAAATTCAACCGAATCAACTGGACTCTGAATCATCTTATCCCTTAGGCTAATTTCACTGGACTCAGCTGTCAGAGCTTGACTGCTTCAATACCGATATTATTTGTACATGCAAATTTGCACCTCTCAACAGAGTTATCCCTACCAGATAGGCTATCAGTCATTGGACTCAGCTGTCAGAGCTTCAATATCGGTAGCATATTTATCGGTCAAATAAATTTTTTAGAATATACAGTAAAAATAAAATTTCAGATACCATTGAATATGCATAAATTTTTTCCTTTGGCTCCACCATCATTATGACACTGACTGTGATACAAGGGTTATGGAACTATATTAATTCTCACTGTGAAATTTAACACAAGGTAAATTCAGAGTGAAAGGACAAGCCAACTTAAATATTTATAATTTTTTTGTAACAAGTGATTAATTAAAAAAAATAATTTTTTAAAAAGAAAATTTTATGGTTACTATAATTATTTTGTATAAAATTAATTTTATATTACTTTAAAATTGCATATATTAGCAGTTATGATAGAAATTCAAAATAAATATAAATTTAAATTATCCTTACGTTTTCTCAGTGGACATTGCACTCCATGACCTATAAACTGCATGTGTTTACCATTAACAACCCTGGACAGAGGAAATTCAAGTTAGAAAAAACGATCGTTTTTGGACAGTAAATAAGTACATAAAAATTGGATAAGATTATGGATATTTCAAAGAATAGGATAGCATGTGCATTGAAAATTTTCATTTATAAAGACTTTAATTTGGCCTTATTAAATTACATTTGGACAAGCCCTCATCACAATCGGTCACACGGACCGGTACTAGAGCCAATTTCATCGGACTTTTCGGTAAAAACCGATCGGTGACTTTCGCATAGACTGCTATTTGTACATGCAAATTTGCACCTCTCAATAATAGTACTTATGTCTTCAATTTCAAAGACTGTGCCTTTGTAATTTTTAATACAGTGAAATAAAAAGTACATGACATTGTTAATAGTTGCTAAATTTACACCAGAAATAAATTTTAATACTTTTCTATGCAACTATCAAATTGAAAGGGGCAAATCCAGAGTAATTCTTTGAGCATTTGTTGAGGTAAATATGTGACTAAAAAGTCTAAATTCAATGAATAGTGGTCCCCTGCATGACGCAGTGGTTAGAGCATCTGCCCTAGAATTGGGAGAAGGGATAAAAAATAACCATTGCCAGACGCCCGGGGCTACTGAATTTTAGGGGTGAACAAGTCAACTTGTGACATCTTATTTAAAATATTATATATTTAAATAACTAAAATGTGTAGGAGTTCAGTTGATGCCTCAGATTTATAATAATTACATCGGGCGAATCTTGTACAAAAAAAATCAATCTACGCATATGGTATAGGTAAACTTATCCAGATTGGTTGCATAACAGATATTTCCGTGTCAATTTTGATAATTTGAGTTGTCCAATCATGTGAATTGTTTTCGCTGGATGCATCTGACGAAAAAGATTGTGACATAACATTAAACTTTACACTTAACTGCAAACTATAATAATTACACCTTAAAAAAAAAATCAACGCATATGGAAAACCAGGCATAAAATAGATTGAAATGTTAGAAAAACCTTTGTGTACTTAATTTTTGTACACTGAAGAAAACAATACCTTAAATTATGTAGGAAAACCAATGTACGAATGACATTAGTTTGTGTACGAGTTGACTTCTGATTTGTGTACGAGTGGACTTTTTGTGTACGACTCAGTTTGTGTAAATCTGTAATTTTATCACAAACTTGCACCTGGCAAGTGACTTATCAAATATAAAATCAATATGCAAACCATAGATTTAAAGCTTGGCATAGGGTTTTGCATGATCTACACGGTATTCATCTTCTTGTTTTGAAATATTTACAAATACAGGTGAATATGAGTATTTTGAACAATGAATATTTCCAAAAATTCCCAAAAAATCTGACAAGGGGCGGTTTAGCAGCTGCTATTTCCAGACCAGAGAGTTTCCACCCGAATGCTGATCTTGTATCAGTAGACTTTGAATCTTCTAATACAATTAAATAACGGTTATATTGGCAAAATATGCTAATGATCGGATCGATTCTGATGCATCATTTTCCAACTCCAAGGTGTGTCATAAAATATTTCGTGTAATTTCTCATTTTCACCCAAAATTTTCGGCTAAATTTTAAAATAAAAACATTGCATACCTGTCATCAACACTCAAAGGTAGAGTTGCATTGTACAACTTTGATCGGTTCATTCTTTGTAGCCTGGTTTTACCGAAATAGAATCATATTTCTTTCTGTTCTTTGAAAGTTTTCAACTTTCCGCCATCTTTAAAATGGTTAATTGCGCATGCGGATGTTTTGAATTTGTTCATCGGAACCTCTTACGCCTTTTCTAAATTCAGAGGGCTTCCGAAAATCATAAAGAAGGAGGAGTTTTCCTTGTCAGTCTTCTGACATAGGTATAAGTTGTTTAGTCGTTTTCAAGTTTAGCATCTTTATCTAAGCATGCTTAGCAGGTGATTGTTTTCATTTTAAATGATTGAAACCCTTTTTTTTAATAAGACAAAAGTAGAAAACATGTTTAGCTCGAATTTCCTCAATTTTGTCTAAGCGTATTGAAGTTTTTGGCGTTTTGATTTGCATTTTTTTATATATTGAACATCTTCATATCATAATGCAAAATGTGACCACCTTAACAGTATTTAAATCATATGTGTTTGATTTTGTTCAGATGGAAATATTCACTGGCAAGGGCACCTGTTCAAAATAGAAAATGTAGGTGGTGGGGTACTTTTCACTGTATTATTTTGTGCTACCTAATAGAACCAGAACCGTGTGTGTGTTTAAAAAACAAAAAAAAAAACAATTATTATATAAAAAACCCACTCCAGTACAATAGATCTATGTATATATAATAATGTAAATTATACATTGTATGTAATAAATGATTCACATTTATTTAATAAAGTGAACAGTTACATTGAAAATTCATAAATACATATGTACTTATATAATGAAAACATGTGGCTGGACCAGAAATCGAATCCGGGATCCCAGCATCTGCATCAGGTGCTCTAACCACAGAGCCATCCAGGCCGATTTCCACTGTCCATAAAGCCTGATATATAAGTTGGTTTTCTCCCTCCTTAAACAGTCTTCAACTTGGAAGACACAAGTTCTAAGGGCCCTGCCAAGAATTACTAACTTGCACATACAATGTAACCAGAACAAGGCCCCCCACACTGGCTAACAAATGTAGAACAAAAGACATTGAAAATTTGTAAATACATATTATAATGGAATCGAACCCCGGACCTAGCTGTATTACTAGTGAGGTGCTCTAACCACTGATCTATCTAGGCTGATGTCCTCAGTCCAGCCTAAATTCCTACACTTCAAACTACTCTGTTTAAATAGCAGAATATAACTAAACATATGATACATGACTTTGGTTGAAGCTCATATCATCTAGTATTAGACAAAAACTTTTAGGATCTAGCTACCAGCTGACAAATTTACCAGACCAGCATGTCTTCATGCCTTGCATGGACATCAAAAATTGCATACTCTCACTCAATTGGCAGGGTTTTTAAAAATACTGTATACAGGGTTATTTTCGCCCCGTGTAATTTTCACCCTTTTACACTTGCAAACAATTTTGCCCCATTTTAAATTCGCCCAACCACAGTTTTAAATAAGAAATTATACGGTGTTCTTTTAATTCGCCCCGTTTTAAATTCGCCCAATCGTAAGTAGGGCCAAAGGGGTGAAAATAAAACGGGGACAAAAATTTCCCTGTATACAGTATGTTTATTTTTATATATTTACATTTCCAATAAATTTCCCCTATGATTCTTTACAAAATAAAATGCTGTATATTTTCTCATGATCTACATTACATATGTACCTGGATTCAGCATGAATATCATGTTTTCATATTCGGTATTCTCAAAATTTTACACAATCCATTGTTAAACAGTCTCCGCCGATGTTATGTTACTTGCCGCACTTGTAATACGTAATAAAAAAACGGGGCAGGGCATATAATGCACACTGATTTGCTTTAAAAATGACATTTAAATGGTGAAAATATATGGCAAGTCAACAGAAAAATAATGTAAATATAAGAAATGAATTTAATTTTTGAAGATTCATGAGGTATATGAACTACAACGCATAAAATTTCATTGCAACGCTCGGCATATTTATCATGCTTCATGAAATATGCCGACCTCAAAATCAATAGTCTTCCTTAGTCCATAGGGAGTTGCTATGAATCTTCAAAAATTAAATTCATTTCTTAATTGGATCCAGTAAGCAATTGAACTTTTATTAAAAAAAAAAAAAAAAGCGGGGGACAAAAAGAGAAAAACTGAGTTGTTGTAGTACATGACATTCACTTTATGATAGAAAGAACATAATTATGATTTCTAAGAACATTGATTTTAAGTCAATAATCATGATAATGTAAGGGTACTTTTTGGCAGGTGATGACAAGTAAGACAGACATGGGACTAAGCCTCGAAGAAGACCAGTCTTAACTCTCCATCTTTGGTAAGTAGTTGGTTGATCTTGTATACTGTAGAAGTGGAAAACATTGTGGTAGTTTTAATTTGGCTATTAATTATTGTGATTAAAGAATTTTCCACAAACATAAAGCCATCGGGAATATTGTTGACATGCATTCATCTCTTTACAAATACAATTTATTATACAGTTTTTTCCCTACTCTGTAATAGTAAAATATTGACTCAGTGAAATGTATAAAATAACACAAGGTCAAGGCTGTACTGGTTGTAGTTTCCCCCGAATACTAGTACTGGTAGCTTTGCTATAATTTTTTTTGTTTTCAAAAATTAATTCACACAATAGCAACTACCGGGTATTTAGGTGTGAGAAGGTCATTATCCATGAAAATAAAACCACTGTGAAACGCTCAAATTTAGTAAATTGTAAAATATATTGAACACATGAAATTTAATACATTTACATTATCAAACTGTAAAACATATCGGAAATCATTTGTCAAAAGTGTAAGAATTTATACATTGTGGGATATGTCTTTTCAATTTTGCAGAATATTGACCCATGTCAATCATCAAAACTAACACGACAGCATGGAGACCAATCATGATATGGATGAAATCAGTTCTTCTATATCCAGTCTGGTAATATTTCTGATTTGTTAATTGTGGATATTATCACTTAATATGACAACAGAGTACAATGTATTAACTATTGAGGAAAAAGCAGAATTCCAATAGTTTCAAACATAGCAGTTTTTTGTTTAAAGAAATTGTTCATGGCTACTTTATTAATAATCACAGAAATGGAATATTTATTTCACTTTTATAGAATGTAAATATTTTAAAAATAATTTCACTATGAATGTATGTTTTATTAGATTGAATATATACATTTAATTATGAATAATTTTTCTTTGTTTAGTGTTCCATGCTAGAGACAGCAGGCCACACTGCTATACTACTCTCCCTGGACGGAAAGAATCAGAAACTCTACCAGTGTGGCAGTGGTGCTGGAGGGAACTTTCTCTTACGGGAAAGGAATACAGTGAAAAGTTTTGTCAGCTTCTGTACAGGTAAATTAATGTGGAATTATTTGTGTAAATGTTGCTTATCTGTATTGTTTAGTTGAGGAGTAGGTTTTGTCTATTTCTTCTATTATGCTTTAAACAGAAAACTGCCTGTTTTATGCATATTTTAAAAATACAGGAAATCACATTTATAATTAAGCAAAATTGTCCATCCCTGGAACTTCGTTATGAGTGTTTTTTACTGTATTATCATTTTCAATTAAGAAATTTAGAATCTGAACATATTAAAATAAAAACAGCTCAGTATATTAGCATAACTAACTTTTTTTTGCAGATGTGTATTCAGCAGATACAACAGTTAACATAGAAAACCAAGAAAAAGATACATGTAGATTGGTTGTTGAGGATATAGGTAAAATTTGGATGAAATTTGCATATTATTTACACAATAGTACCTTATTAACATATGAAATGAATTAATTATTATCATGATTGTCTTTTTTGCAATTGAAGTAAGAGTAAAACTTTTATATACTATGATTTCTTTTATCATTGTCTCTGAAAAGAATGTTGCAGTTTTAGATTGATTTCTTTCATTTTACAAGAAAAATTTGTGAATTTATTGTTGTCAACACATGATCTAAATCAGCAATCTGAATCTTCATGTTTAATTACATTTATAGCTTACAATCACATGTAGTTCACGCAAGGAGAGAGAAATTCTTAAATTCATGAAATGTGTTTTTTGCTTCAGAAACAATTTTACGTGGAAATTTGGAGGACGCAGAATCAGACAAACAAAAGACAAATGACGAGATTAGTTCTGAACCTGACAATGTGTCTGATTTTGATCCCATTGAAACGTTTGAAGATGAACAAGATAGTTCAAGTACAGACCATCTTTCCAAGGAAGAAAAATCTGACAATGAGGCACTGGTTTATAATAATATCCCAGAAAAACTTGAAGATAAGGAAATAAGTGTAAAGAATGATGTCTGCAGTCCTGGATCTTTGCAGGCCATAAAAAAGGTACAGAATAACAGTAAGAAGAGTTCAGGGGAATTACAGGATACAGAAAAGAATGATGAAATGGAATTTGTACAACGGTCAGAATTGAAAAGGAAAGGGAAGAATCTAAGACAATCCAGCAGGAAAGAGCGTAAATTTGATGGAATTATTCAACAGGATGAAATAAATCATCAGAATGAACAAATGAGAGAAAGGTTAAGAAGAAGGTCTGAACCAGTTGAAAAGAGAAAAAAGAAAAATGTTAGTGAGGAAAAAGATGAAAGTAAAAATAACAATATGGAGGAGGTAGAAAAGTCATTGGGACATAATTGTCTGTTTTGTGATAAACAATTGAAGAATAGAAAAACTTTGATTCAGCATGTTGTCAGACATGCAGGGCAGAAACTTCGATGTAAAATTTGTGACACTATGTGTAATAAGAAAAATATACTACAGGAGCATGTTAGAATGCATGAATTTCAGACCAGTGGACCCGGTTTGGACAACAGTGAGATGTATGATGTTGAAAGTAGAACATGTAAACTTTGTCAGGTTCAACTGGGCTCAGTTTTTTCTCTGAAGAGACATATGAAATGTCATGAAAACTTAAAAGATTTTAAGTGTTATGTATGTGCTGAGAATTTTCATACCGAAAAGGAGTTAGCTTTACATACGGCCATTCATATGGTGTCACTGGTGTACTCGTGTGGGACTTGCAGGATTGGATTCGATTCCGAGGAGGCTTTACAATACCATAGAGGAAAGAACAACTGTAGTGCTGCAGAGTTACCTGGGGAGACTAGCTTTAATTGTTCCGTTTGTGATAAAGGGTTTATGTACCAGAAAAATTTAGAAAAGCATTTGGAAACGCATAAAAATAACCAAAATTCTGCTTCCAACAAAGGGTCGACGCTTTCAGAAAATACTGCTAAAACCAATGGGGGACAAAGTGGAATAGGTGCTGTTAACAGTGATTTGAGCCAGTTATCTTCACATAATGTCCAGCAACAAGACATGGAAACAGGCTCTTCTTGTTTTGATAGCAGGAACGTGGACCAAAAAAATGCAGCTGAAATTAATCCATCAACTGACATTCCCACCTCTTCATCACAGAGTGAGAAAAGTTCAAAAGATCTTACATGTAATTTATGTGGACAAATATTCAAGAAGGCAATGGCCTTGTATCGTCACAAATTGGGGCACGACGGCACGGGAATGTTTCCGTGTAGGTTTTGTAACTTTGTGACCAATTCCAAAGACAATCTGACCAGACATGCCAAAACACACTTGGCAAAGCTTCCACATATTTGTGACATCTGTGATAAAGGTTTTACAGAAAAGTGTCATTTAACTTTTCATATGAACTCCTCTCATTTTCATAAAAGGCAATTCCTCTGCGACCATTGTGGGAAATCCTTTCGTGCTCAACAGTCCTTGCTTGCTCACAAACGATCACATATGGGTACCAGGCCCTATAAATGCAGGTACTGTGATCAGGCTTTCGTAACAGGAAGTGGGAAGAAAGAGCATGAGAAAATTCATCAGAATAAAAAGACCTACATGTGTGATTCATGTGGGATGTCGTTTAACCAGAGGTGCGGTTTATACACCCATAAACTCACACACCATAATGATAAACCATCAAAGATCTGCCCGGAGTGTGGCAGGGCATTCAAAACTGATCATTACCTTAGATCCCATTTTGTCTCCAGGCATCTAAAACTGGAGGACGTGGATAATTACGGCTTTAAAGTCTATACTTGTGAAGTTTGCCAAAAATTATTTTCAGACAAGAGCGACATGAAAAGCCACATGAATAAACATACAGGTATATATGTAATTTATTTGGTATATTTACAATAATGATTTAAAAATCATATGAATATTTCAAATATTGATGTAAGATTTTTTTTGTTAAGTTTGAAAGTTTTCAGACAAAAGTTTTTTTCTAACTCGTGGCTTTTAAAAGCTTTTTTTTTTTTTTTTTTTAAGTTTCATTTTTTGTGGCAGATAAAACAGAGATGTCCCAATGTGATGAAATAAGTGTCTCATCGAATTTTCTCTACTTTTCCCCTCTATTTTAGGAGAGAAACCATTTAAATGTGCCTACTGCAACAAAGGCTTCTCTGACAGGAGTAACATGAGGGCCCATCAGCGAATTCACCAGGAATACAGGCCCCATCTCTGTAATATCTGCGGGAAAGGCTTCATCTTCAACAGGGACCTCAAGAAGCACCTCAGAACCCACTCGCCTCAAGCAGACGACACAAACAGATTGCAGGAATCGGACACAGCTGTGGAATTTTTAAGGTCCTCATTAAACACAGATGATGCGGGGGGTGCTGAAGTACAGAACCCCAATACTGTGGGGGAGTTTGAAATTCAGGTCAAATTTTCTGAAGATTTTATGTATAAATGATAAGAAAAAATTTTAATACACAATATTTTGTATGTTTTTGATATTTCAAAATCTTTGAACATTTTCTTTGGTCATCTACCTTATTTTATTACTTTTCAAAAATCTGTGATCATGATATAAAAGAAAATGATTATATTTTTGTAACAGCAAATTGTTTTACATTTCTATAACATGTACAATTACTATTGTTTTATAATATGTGGATTAGAATAAAATTGTTTCTTGGTAGTGATAAGTGTAGCAGTAGTTGAAACTCCTTTTTTAGCTCACATTGGGGCCATAAAACTTAGACAAGCTCACTTTTGATCTCAGTCTCACTTTTAACAAAGGTATATAGAGTGGAAAAGTGAGACTGAGATCAAAAGTGAGCTTGTCTATGTTTTATGGCCCCTGGCATGGTGTCTGGCATCCAGTCATCCATCTGTCAAATTGTCTAGAAATTTTTCATTTTTACAGCTTCTTCTCAAGAACCACGGGTCCAATTTTTACCAAATTGGTACTAATTAAAGCATCCCTGAGTGAAGGAGATTCTAAATTGTTAAAATAAAGGACCAATCCCTCTTCCAAGTAGAGATAATCAAGAGAATGCAAAAATAGGGTGGTGTCATTCAAAATCTTCTTCTCAAGAACCACTGGGCTGGGCCAGAAAAGATGATACTTAGGTGGAAGCATCCTGGAGTAGTGTAGATTCTAAATTGTTGAAATCATGGCCTCCAGGGATAGGACGGGGCCAAAACGAATCAAAGTTTAACATAGAAATGAGGAAAAAATATTTGAAATCTCAGAATCTGATGGGCCATGATGTGGAAAGGACAAAGATAGGGAAAGACCCCTTTTAGATTTTTGATGTCTCCAGGACATGCAATATTTAATCATTAGAAACCTGTTGCCATCCCTCATGAAATTAATATGCATTCTAAGTCTTGGGGTACACAAGGGTCACAGGAATGTCAAAATTATGTCAATTTCCGAATTTTCTCATTTTTATGCAAATTTTCATTATTTTATAACAAATTTGGTTTCAGAAAACACAGAACACAAGCTTGCCTATCTACCAGATTCAATGCACTAGTATCAAGTGGTGCTTCTTGTGTGTGAAAATTCCAGTAAGACAAGCCAGTGTTCTATGTTTCCTGCATGATGTTAAAAGATCTAAAATTCGACAAATTTCCATCAGAATTGAGGACATTCAGTAAAATGTCCAACTTTGACACACTATAGATACCTCTCTGTAATCCCTGAATCATTTTTTTTCGCTGGTTTCAAAACAAGCAACATTTAAAGTTCTTAGGTGCAAACTGAAACAATGTTATCTGTGTTTTAATTGGCCGTTACTGTACCTTGTCCTTTCAAGTGTGGAAGTATCCTGGGGTAGTGTAGATGTAAATTTGTTGAAATCAACCCCGAGGGTAGGGCGGGGAAACAGGGGGTAAAATCTTATAAAGAACAACAGGGCTAAAGTTAATACTTACGTGAGCGTTGTGACCTATGGGCATCTTATTTATGGGAGTTCTTCAGTAATGCAAGTTGTGTGTTTACTAGTATGTCCAAAGTCTTTAATTAAGATAAAAACAAAGGCTTTCATTGGCTTTTAATTTTTGTCTATTAACAGTGGGAAGGGTATTTCAAACACATTTATATCTTCCAAAATTTCTTAAAGCATGATATTGGTTTTGGCTTTTGACAAATTTGCTCTTGATACAAGAAAAGCAAGACTCTTTTCCAGTTATATGCATATAGTCGGTCTTAAAGGTACTTGGACACAGATTTGAAGTTAATATTTTCTCATTTTTTCTGTATAATATCACGAATTATATATTTTAATAGCATTTCACACAAAAATTAATTAAAAATCTTATTTCATTTAAAAGTTATTAAAACTTTAAATTTTTTGGCGGGTTTGATTGACACATCCTTGCACTTTCACAAATTTTAACTTCATTCTTAAGCCTTAGGAAAAGTGGCAATTTTGATGTGTTTTAATGAGAAATATTAAAACTTTTATCAAGAAAAATAATCTTATTCAGAGTAGAAATGTAAGAAAGCAAAACACCTTCACAAGTATCGTCATTCCGAACTAAGAGATGCGAACAGAGTTTAGCAAAACGAGCACACTCGTGTTATGTACACAGTTTTTGTAAACAGGGCTCGAGTTCTGTTATTGTTTATATTTAGAATTCACCGGGTGCATTCAATCGTCACAGTCTGCTTACCACAACTGCACGGACTGACAATATATTGTGTGTTTGTTTTGCTTTCGAACGTGTCTACTCTGAATTTTCTGGATTATAGTATTAATATTTTTCATTAATACAAAACGAGATTGCCACTTTTCCTAAGGATTAAGAATAGAAATTGTTCATACGTAGAGCATGCTCTTGCGTATCGAATCAACTGAGATATATACACTACGCATGCACCTGATGAAGGTATATTGCTGCATTAATAAGGGAAGTCGACAATAGAAAAGTTAAAGTCATCACGATTATCATATAACTTGGTTGTTAGATTACCGTTTACGTCTTTTTCAAGTAAAATAGCCTAGATAAAACAGATGTGTCAGACTCTGTGGTATCTTTTATCTCAAGCTCACCAGGATATATCGTATCGACATAGGAATGGAAATCACCATTGTTAATTGGCAATACGTCGTCGATATATCTAAATGTGGAGTTGAAGGCCACAGCAAGTGTTTACTTCTTTTCAGGCATAAAATTTCGCACAAATTCTGCTTCATATGAATATAAAAATAGGTCTGCTAATAACGGAGCGCAATTGGTACCCATGGGAATTCCAATAGATTGTTGGAATACCTGATCTCCAAGAACCACATTGATATTGTCAATCAGAAACTCAAGCATCTCTTTGATGTCAACTTCAGAGTACTTGTGTGTGCAATCAGAATGTGTTTTAACAAAATAATTTTGCAAATGACCAATGGCCAGGTAAGTAAATTTACGAGTTCCAGTTTTATTGAAAAAGCAGCTGTCAATGATATCAAAAAGCCTGGACTGTAATTTATCATGGGGAATGGTGTTTAAAGTTGAAAAGTCGTAAGTTTTTAAGCTGTTGATTTTGGTAAATTGTTCATAAGTTCTTTTTTGAGTATCCACATCTGATTTATACCACTTTTTGAAAATATTGTTGCACAGTACTCTTGAAGTTTTTCCTTCACATTGTCAATATCTTAGTGAGGAGTAACGAAAGAGGCTTGGTTGAACATTTACTGGAACCCGCAATGTATCTTTATTTGTAAGGATTTTTATGAAGTTTTGGAATCCAATATATATAGAAATATGTGGAATATTAAAACTATTTAAAACTGACATATGATTTTGAAGAATTTCTTCCTCAGAAAGGGAAGTATGGAGTTTAAGTAGGATTTCTACTTGTAGAATTAAATCCAAGTTCTTCTAAAATACAATTTATATAAAGAACCTTACAAACGAAGAAAATGTTGTTACTTGCTTTGTCGGCAGGGACCAGTACGTATTGATCATGTAATCTATCTAATTCTTTTTTCACTTCTAGATTATTGAATACAGAAAGATAGATGGTTTTCATATTGCCCTCAATCTTTTAATATGTGATTTTAACATGGACCTGATACATTTAATCCATTCTGACAAAGTGTCAACGTCTTCTTTTTCATATCTGGCCCATCGTCTGGTGTAATTTTCAACAGAATCCAAAGGAAGATGCCGTTTTTAGCTCACCTGAGCTGAAAGCTCAAGTGAGCTTTTCTGATCACATTTTGTCCGGCGTCCGTCTGTCTGTCCGTCTGTCTGTAAACTTTTCACATTTTCGACTTCTTCTCAAGAACCGCTGGGCCAATTTCAACCAAACTTGCCACAAAGTATCCTTGCGTGAAGGGGATTCAAGTTTGTTCAAATGAAGGGCCACACCCTAATTCAAGGGGAGATAATTGGGAATTAATGAAAATTTGGTGTCATATTTTAAAAATCTTCTTCTCAAGAACCACTGTGCCAGGAAAGATGAAACTTATGGTGAAACATCCTCAGGTAGTGTAGATTCAAGTTTGTTCAAATCATTACCCCCGGGGTTAGGGCGGGGCCAAAATGGCCGACCAAAATTTTACATAGAAATATATAGGAAAATTCTTTAAAAATCTTCTTCCCAAGAATGACAAAGCCATTATTCATCATATTTATATGGAAGCATGCTCAGGTAGTGTAGATTCAAGTTTTGTTCAAATCATGACCCCCGGGGGTAGGGCGGGGCCAAAATGGCCGACCAAAGTTTTACATAGAAATATATAGGAAAATTCTTTAAAAATCTTCTTCTCAAGAATGACAAAGCCATAATTCATCATATTTATATGGAAGCATGCTCAGGTAATGTAGATTCAAGTTTGTTCAAATCATGACCCCCTGGGGGTAGGGCTGGGCCAAAATGGCCGACCAAAGTTTTACATAGAAATATATAGGAAAATTCTTTAAAAATCTTCTTCCCAAGAATGACAAAGCCATTATTCATCATATTTATATGGAAGCATGTTTAGGTAGTGTAGATTCAAGTTTGTTCAAATCATGACCCCTGGGGGTAGGTTCTTTAAAAATCTTCTTCTCAAGAATGACAAAGTCATAATTCATCATATTTATATGGAAGCATATTCAGGTAGTGTAGATTCAAGTTTGTTCAAATCATGACCCCCCGGGAGTTACTAGGGCGGGGCCAAAATGGCCGACCAAAGTTTTACATAGAAATATATAGGAAAATTCTTTAAAAATCTTCTTCCCAAGAATGACAAAGCCATTATTCATCATATTTATATGGAAGCATGCTCAGGTAGTGTAGATTCAAGTTTTGTTCAAATCATGACCCCCGGGGGTAGGGCGGGGCCAAAATGGCCGACCAAAGTTTTACATAGAAATATATAGGAAAATTCTTTAAAAATCTTCTTCTCAAGAATGACAAAGCCATAATTCATCATATTTATATGGAAGCATGCTCAGGTAATGTAGATTCAAGTTTGTTCAAATCATGACCCCCTGGGGGTAGGGCTGGGCCAAAATGGCCGACCAAAGTTTTACATAGAAATATATAGGAAAATTCTTTAAAAATCTTCTTCCCAAGAATGACAAAGCCATTATTCATCATATTTATATGGAAGCATGTTTAGGTAGTGTAGATTCAAGTTTGTTCAAATCATGACCCCTGGGGGTAGGTTCTTTAAAAATCTTCTTCTCAAGAATGACAAAGTCATAATTCATCATATTTATATGGAAGCATATTCAGGTAGTGTAGATTCAAGTTTGTTCAAATCATGACCCCCCGGGGGTTACTAGGGCGGGGCCAAAATGGCCGACCAAAGTTTTACATAGAAATATATAGGAAAATTCTTTAAAAATCTTCTTCTCAAGAATGACAAAGTCGTAATTCATCATATTTATATGGAAGCATGTTCAGGTAGTGTAGTTTCAAGTTTGTTCAAATCGTGACCCCCCGAGGATAGGGCGGGGCCAAAAGGGCCGACGAAAGTTTTACATAGAAATATATAGGAAAATTCTTTAAAAATCTTCTTCTCAAGAATGATAAAGCCATAATTCATCATATTTATATGGAAGCATGTTCAGGTAGTGTAGATTCAAGTTTGTTCAAATCATGACCCCCGGGGGTAGGGCGGGGCCAAAATGGCCGACCTAAGTTTTACATAGAAATATATAGGAAAATTCTTTAAAAATCTTCTTCTAAAGAATGACAAAGCCATAATTCATCATATTTATATGGAAGCATGCTCAAGTAGTGTAGATTCAAATTTGTTCAAATCATGACCCCCAGGGGTAAGGCGGGGCCAAAATGGCTGACCAAAGTTTTAAAAGATATATATAGGAAAATTCTTTAAAAATCATTTTTTCAAAAAATAGCAAATCCATGATTGGTCATGGGACTATTTTTGGATTTAAACTTTACAATAAAAAGCCATTTTCTACTTTTTCCTACCCTTAGTGCTCAGGTGAGCGATGTGGCCCATGGGCCTCTTGTTTACAGAATATACCTTTGTTCCTTATCTTTAGACCCTAAACTTGTAGTCCGCCTCGGAAAACACATTCTTCAAATATCCTATAAATAAATATCCTCTCAATAAAGAATTGAATTGAATCATAAATGACTATGTGAAATATATAGAATAGTAAAACTGTAGTAAAACATGCTTATTACGAAGTATCACGGGCGTACGATTAATCGAAAAGTTTACAATACATTTATATTCTAAAGTTATGGGGAGTGAAAATCACATGATATTAAAAGCGTCAATTCATCACAAGCGTCCTTTCTTGCATTTATTATTATCATCTTGTGGTTCCTAAAATATTTTCAATTCGTCTTAAGAAAGAAGTACACTGTACGCCAAAATATTGACATTGATTTCCGATAGGACATAGGAAACGGAATCCTTTGATACCTTGCAAATTTACTGGGGAGAGGGGGGAGGTTGAGTAAATTTGTTAAGGTTGGAATATTTTAATAACGATTGTTAACGAGGGAAGTTATAAATATTGTCATGTTTTGTTTTGTTTTTTAGAAAAAAAAGGAAGACACAACTATGCACTGATGGATTTCTTAATTTATTTCTTTCAATTTGTCCTTAGATAATTAATCATCTTGTTACAAAAAAGTTTCTGTTTTGTTTTCTTCCCTTTTTGTGACAAAACCAGGATTTAGCTTCGAGACTGCATGAATGGCACTTTTAATACATGAAAACTGATTGTCAATAATATTGCTAACAATTCAGATTCTAGAATTATGTCAGTTCGATTTTAGTAGCTCCTTGTTGAGTTTAAATAAATAAAGAGGAATTCAATTCCAAAGTCTGTCTTTTTATGTTTTGGAGTTTAGCATGGTTTAGATCGATTGCAATCTCTTGCTTTTGCAATGCAGCCATTCAGACTCTTATACTCACAAGGAAACAGTTACGCTCGATGTGCTTCTTCGGCACATTGTTTCATATTATAGATCATCTTTGCAGCGTAGAATAACGGAAGAAAAATGTGCCAAAAAAGTCTATATTGTCGCTTTCCACTTCCAGGAAGTATCTATAAATAGAAACTTAGATTTTGGATTACATGCTGCAATACTGTGAAAAAATGTAACATTTCTGTTTTAATCACTTGGCTTGCAGATAAGCACTCTTTAAGTTAATAAAGTTCGTTCTTTTAATAAAGTTGCATGTCCAAATTCTATTTACACACTGGGGCTGGGGTGATTGGGGTTAAAACGTATTTCTGATGAAATTGTCTCGAATTCGAGTCGACTCCTCCCGACTTGACGACGAACCAGTCAACATGTCCCTTAGTCCACTACCGAGATCAAACCCGTCTGGGAGTTCCAACCCTCCCGAGCTCGACCCCCCAACTCGTAGCACGCCGAGCCCTCTGAGGTCGTCCATAGACAATGTACCACCAAGCGGCACCTCTATACCACGTGATTCCTCTGGCCCAAGGAAATTGTAGCGTTCCATTCTGAACACTCTAATCTGGCCAGAAATATCGCCTATCCACAAATTTTCATGTGAATCCACGTTGAAACAACTTATACTGCCAGACATGTTGGCTAGAACTATAGATTGAAAGGTTGCCTCTTCGTCGACAACATGGATTAGGTTTGTCCCTGCGTCCAAAATGTAGTAGTTGTCATTCTGGTCACTTGCAACTGACCGTGGTTGAAAGGGGTAGCTATTCGTGATATTTATACTATCATCCGATTGCTCAAGTCTTTTGAGCCCCCTCTTCCCAGTATATTTCTTAGGATACTTCAATTTTTTGACTGTCGATAGTGTCGTACTGTCTATAAAAAATACGCACTTCTTTGTCGTTTCGCAGAGAGCGATCTGTCCGGTCTTCTCATTAACAGTCATAGATGATACCTCATGAAGCTCAAGGTTCACATCCAGTGGTTGGATCTTCTTCAACATTTGGTCTGTGATAAATAGACCACTGTTGTTTAAATGTGTGTTATCAGAGTGACGACGCGTTGCAATCAGCAGACGACCATCATCGTACGCGTATAACGAGATGGGAACGCTGTTTTCTGTGGTTGTTACAAACCTTAGTTCTTGTTGATCGTTCAGCAACAGAATTTCACCACTGGAAAAGGCTAATACAAGTGTACCATCACTAAATCGAGCTATGTCCTGGAGTACATTTTCGACATATTTTCTGTACATCTCCTGGCCATTACGGGAAAACTTGGCAACGAAGGGTCTGTTTGTTAAAACCCAGCACTCATTTTTGTCGTCTGGAATTATCTTTCGAATACGCTCAAAATTATTGCATTTGAATGACGTACTAAGGTAAGCGAAGAACGCAGACTTCACGGTACTCCTGTAAGCATTTCCAATTCTTCGAAGAATTCGCAAATCTCGATGACCATCGTTTTCTTCGTCGCTGTCCTCGTCGAAATCGCCAAATTTTTTCTCATCCTTGTGATGATGACTTTTGTGGCAACCGCTGCAGAGGATGCTGTTACACTCATGACAGTGCTTCAGTTTTCGTACCTCCCTTGCTCCGCAAATATCACACGTCTCCTCTTGTTGTGGCGCGGATTTAAAATAATTGTCAAAGAATCCTTGAACTCCATCTTTCGGAATGTAGACGTCCTGTCTGCAGATTGGACACTTGACGGAGGAATCTGAATTTGAAGGAGTAGCAGCTATAATGTTGTCAATACACGGACTGCAGAACGTGTGAGAGCAGGGTAGAATTTTCGGAACTTTATCTGGAGTTGAAAACTGATAAGCACAAATTGGGCAGTTTGAGTCGTCTTGTTGTTGTTGTTCATCCATTTATTGTTACATCGACAGAAAAACAACAAAATATTATAATATATAAACCAAAACTCCAAACAATGTCCAAATGTTAGTTGTTACTCACATGCCGATCGAGGTTCAGAACAAAATTTTCAACATTCAGTGAAAATTTTCAAAGTTTAAAAATAGCTCATGTTGCAGCTCACAAAGTCTGGGAGGGAATTATTTTTCAAGGACTAGCTGTAATTTATATCATACATATGGCACATCCTCTTCCTTTTCACCAGAGAAAAACTTCCCTGTGTTAAATAAGTCCAGAGAGTATATGGCTGAGAGACATGTATCTAGCTATAGCAGGATCAAGTTCAATTTTTTCCTGGTTAATGGTTTCAAATATCACCATCCTGTAGAACTTTGATATAGAGTCAAGTGCTATGTATTACGCAATGCATGGTTAAGTCATAGGCATAAGTGTCTTATAAATATATATACTGTACTATATTTATCATAACTACAAGGCGGGGAAAAAAATTAACACGTGGGTAAATGCACGACAAGTACTCGTTCATATAGTGTGAAAGGAGGGGTGTCAGAAAAGAGTATATTTTGCCGTTAAAATTTTTTGCATGGAAAATATTATCCCCACCCACCCAATCTTCTCACCCCCCTCCCCCAAAAAACAACAACAACCACAAAAACGCATATATATTTTTAGCAGCAAACATGTACAAATGTTATGACACTCATTGCATTAATTCATTTTCTTTTTACAACAGTGCATTTAGAATTTTGCCATGAAATAAGATTTCATAGTAATTCTTTGATAGTTTTTATCATTTTCCGGAATGAATGTTCATTGTCGACATCGGTGTGGTGGGGCGTAAAGGGAATGGAAAGAGAGGGGGTGTTAAAAAATCGTTGAATGATTGTCCATGGTTCCTTTTTTAGCCGGGCTCATTGCTCGTAGAGCAATGCCCGGCTATTGCGACGGTGAGCAACGGGAAATGCTGCTTCTTCACCGCCAAATTGAGTTTACGAGTAAAAATATAGTACGTACGCCCAGCCGCTGTTGAGAAAACAAAATCCATCCAAACACTTTAAGAAATAGTAAATCGAATATTTTTATCAAAATATTAAATTGTTTAATATTTTTCCTGGCTCCTTTGGCTAATATTTTACAAAGCAATTCAAAAGGTGCGAAAGGTTTTCACCAGGTAACCCTGTCTGCGTCATATTCTATAAATAAAGGTTGTACTATCAGGCTAACACAAATGCAGGGAACATCATTAATGACTTGATGCTAAAATCCCCGCTGAGGACACATCAGTGCAGAGTCGTTTGACCTTAATTAATCTTGCTGCATTGGTGTTTATTTACTTTTGTTTGTATATAAAACCGGTTACCCCGAAACGATACATGTGATAAATATTTTACGCTGTTAATTTCTAGCTATATTTTATTTAATTTTTAAAACTTTTTAATACTATATTTAAGGGCTGGTCCCATAGCCCACGACCCCAATATAAAGTAACACAAATACACATGTATGGACAGACAATTTGAAGAGAATGTGAACTGTCCAGTATGAGAAAACACAGCAGTCGTCCAAAAAATATCTACCAGAAAAAATCGGTATATCTTCAGCATGTCGGCAGATGTTTAAAAAAAAGCGATGGCAGAAAATCAGCCTTATGACGAAATGTGGTGTCTCTTTATTTTAATGGAAAACTACGTTTCTTTGTTTTTTTCAGTGTACTTCTAAAACAACACTCTTTGAATGCAGAGCTAAGGTCTTCATACCATTATCACATGTGTCTCCTGTTACACCAACAAGGTGACATCTACATAATAATTGAGGGGGGAAAATAATGCTTATGGATAGCAGTGTTTTTGAATTCATATTGGTATAACATATATTATTTAAGCCAAAACAAAACGAGAAAATGTTCTTAAACATTTAAAGTCTGCAACAATCCATGTAGCAGATGATCAGGAAGAGAACAAAAGGCCCATGAGCCACAATGCTCACCAGTAAAACCAAATTAATTTTTAAAACAACAGAATAATTTTTGTCAAGAAAAATGTCCTCAGAAAAGTTTTGTTTATTCCCCAGAAATGATTTGTTTATCACTATTTCCTTTTAAAAAATGAACATTTGATATTTACAGACTAACGCTTCAAAGCATTTAAATTTACAAATATTTTTATCAGACATGACAGGCGCGTAGCTGCCTATACGCAAGTACGCAAGTGCGTACACATCATTTTCCAAAAAAAAAAAAAAAAAAAGAAAGAGGAATAAAAGAAAAGAAGGAAAACAAGAAAGAGAGAAATTTATTCGGGGAAAAAGAGGCACTACCCGGGTTTCAAATTATTTTGCGTCTTATTGTTTCGATTCAAATTTTTTTTCAGCATGTCTGCACATTCAAATTTAGTCCTTTATAAAATCAATTCCAAAACATCTTTCAACATTCTTGAGAAAAAAATATTCTTGAACCAAAATGTTCAACTGTTAATCCGCGTAATCCTGATTATCTGGACAAATATTTGATGAAGGAAAGCGATCTAAGGGACTTTGATCGAAAGAAAAAGTTACAAAGGTTTTGGACAACTATACAAAATTTTTAATTTCCATAGAGGTAATGAATAAATGTCGTTAAACAATTTAAATTATAGTGAACAAAATAAATGATAATATAGCTTCTTTTATTGATGTTACCAATTTAAAGAATTATATTATAATTGAAGCATTCTCGAATCGTTTCAGCCATCAAATATGAAGGTAATCAAAAGACAACAACACCCCATTTATATTTTGAAATATTTAAACTCCAATGATAACGATATTATCTTGATACACTTGGAAACTTTTTCCAAAGCAATATATGCGTTCTCTTCCCGAAGTTTCAATGGAAGCAGTATAACTTAGCTAAGTCAGTAACTGTTTGCTCGATAAAAGTGATATTTAGCGAGAAAATGACTGAAAATTTTCGTAAATCCAGGAGCTTCCGGGGGCTTCGCCCCCTGGGCCCCCTCCAGGGCTTCGCCCTGGACCTACTGGGGGCCTCAAGGCGGCCCCCAGACCCCCGACCGTTTTCTGCGTACACTTCATTTCCATGCTGGCTACGCGCCTGCATGATGTTATATGGAAGAATGTCAGTTATTTTTACAGAAACAAGCTAAATCCATAGGCGTCGGAAGCAATTTGAAAGTTGGAGGGAGGGGGGCTAAACCAACAAAAAAGGTACCCCATAATTTCAATGCCTATATAATGTATATCTTTGCAAAAAAAAGTGAGGAAGGGGGGCTAAGCCCCCCCCCCCCCCCCCCGATTCCGACGCCTATGAATTCAGAGAATTTGTTTCATCTTCCTTGGACAATTTAAATTACACTTGGATTAGTGATGTCTTTATTGATAAGCAGTCTTTTCATTTTTACATCAGTGATTATATTTAGCATGTAAAAGTTAACAAAAACTCTTCGACACTTCCAAATGGCGTTTTTTGAGAAAGATTGATTAATAATTTATTTTCATACCAATAAATCTTTTGATATTTACTTGAAAAAGTATGCAGTCTGCTGGAGTAAGTGAAACTGACCATGCAATGCAAAGAATTTAGTTTTCTGATCACACATTTAAAGGATCGCTGGTATGCGTAGATACAGGAGTGGAGTGGATGTATACCGGTAGTTGAGACGTTGATAAAGGTTTGACTTATTCAACCCCACCTGCTACTTCCTAAGGCCTGGGACCCTACAGAATATAATAAAGAAGCAAAAATGAGCAAATTGGATCGCCATTTTTCGTCACACGCTAGAAAAAAAGCTGGCGTGCTATGGAAAAGGGCGAGGTGATCCGACTGTATCTGTGACGTCACTTAAACGTAACAATCAGTGTGACGCAACAATCATCACTACAACAAAAGGCGAAGAGGAGAGGCAAAACACGGAGGTAAAAGACAGTCACCCAGATATTTGTCTTTTTAGATTAATACAGCGTCATACATTAGGATATTCTGTTTCAAATACGTGTAAAAGAAATTAGGTATTTGTATCATGATAATGTGTTTTTTTTTTCTTTTCGTAGAAGTACAAAAATGATGGACTACAACGCAATTTTGGATTTCGGAGATAACCCTGTCACAGATGTAGTAAGTTCACTCAAACTCTCCTTTGTAATGTTAACATACTTAACTATTGGAGCACAAACCTTAATTTGATATTTTAAAAAAGTATATCCAATACCAAGTATTTAAGGTATTTCTGTGGTAAATTAATTACTTTATTTTATTAGCATATGAAATAATCAATAATGATCCAGATATCTGGCCAATACCCTCTTGTTTTTATATTGTCATATGGTTCCCAAATCTCTCCATAGTCAGGTGTTATTTAGAAGGACACCCCTGCTGTTTTCTAGGTTATAAAAAAATATTTCTATGTAAAAGTAACAAAAAAGATCTTGAATTTCTCTCACGAACACCCCCTTCCTCCTGGAAATACAGATTCCTTTTAAAATTGTAATCAGAATCATCTACCTGGTATCTGAAGAAAACTGGTTCAAGGAAAGACCCCCCCCAATGGGATTTTTAATTTTGCATTTATTCCTGTCCCTGTACATATGTCTTTGAGAGGCTGCTTCTTGGGAGGGGGGATGGTATGGATTTTTTTGTGGAGGTTGTTTTTGTGTTTTATTTTATTTTACTTTAGGTGGTCAAAAATGCACTCCTGTTAGATTTAGATTTTAAAGACCTTCAAGGCCTAAAGCAAGTAATAACAGTGGGGGAGGGGGGGGGGGGTTATGCACAACTTGACATTTTTAGCTCAGCTGAGCCGAAGGCTCAAGTAAGCTTTTCTGATCACATTTTGTCCGGCGTTCGTCTGTCCGTCTGTCTGCCTGTCTGTAAACTTTTCACATTTCGACTTCTTCTCAAGAACTGTTGGGCCGGTTTCAACAAACTTGCCACAAAGCATCCTTAGGTGAAGGGAATTCAAGTTTGTACAAATGAAGGGCCACGCCCTCATTCAAGGGGAGATGATTGGGAATTAAGAAAAATTTGATTGCATGCATGTTTTAAAAGTCTTCCTCTCAAGAACCACTGTGCCAGGAAAGATGAAACTTATATGCAAGCATCTTCAGGTAGTGTAGATTCAAGTTTGTTCAAATCCTGTCCCCCGGGGGTAGGGCGGGGCCACAATTGCCGACCAAAGTTTGACATAGAAACATATAGGAAAATTCTTTAAAAATTTTCTTCTCAAGAACCACTGTGCCAGGAAAAATGAAAGTTATATGGAAGCATCCTCGGGTAGTGTAGATTCAAGTTTGTTCAAATCATGACCCCCGGGGGTAGGGCGGGGTCACAAAGGCCGACCAAAGTTTTACATAGAAATATATAGGAAAATTCTTTAAAAATCTTCTTCTCAAGAACCACTGTGCCAGGAAAGATGAAACT